GCTTCAATGAACATTCGTGTGCATGTGTCCTTATAGTAGAACAATTTATAATCCTTTGGATATATCCTTTTTTCTTTTAAGAGTCTTGTTCTGTTGCCCAGGCTGGAGTACAGTGGCATGATCATGGCTCACTGCAGCTTTAACTTCCTGGGCTCAAGTGATCCTCCCTGTCACCCTCCTGAGTAGCTGGAACTACAGGCGTGCACCACCACAACCAGCTAATTAAAAAAAAAATTTTTTTTTGTAGAGACAGACTCTCACTATATTGCTCAGGCTAGTCTCCTGCCTTGGCCTCAGCATCCCAAAGTGCTGGGATTATTGGCATGAGCTACCATGCCCGGCCTGAACCATTTTTCACTCCTGTTTTACACTCAGCCCCCTGGAAACCTCTGTGTTCTCTCACTGTCACTTTTGTCACCCTCAAAGCTGCCTGGATCCCAGAGTCATCCATTTCCTTTGGGTGTCAATGTGAACTTTCTCTTGGGTTCTTGCTTTCCTATGACCTCAAACCCTTCTCAAACTCACTGGGTAAGAATCCATCTTGATTAGTGGTGCTGCCATTTCTGACTCTTCCCCCTTAATTGTCCACCCTCCTCCTGACCAACTAGCCCTATAAATTCTTAAATTTATGACTATCCAAATACCCTCTAGTCTTACTGATTCAGTGTCTTTATCGTCTCTTGGATTTATTCTGCTTTTTCTCTTCTTTTTTTTTTTTTTTTTTTTTGAGACAGAGTGTCGCTCTTGTTACCCAGGCTGGAGTGCAATGGCACGATCTCGGCTCACCGCAACCTCCGCCTCCTGGGTTCAAGCAATTCACCTGCCTCAGCCTCCTGAGTAGCTGGGACTACAGGCACGCGCCACCATGCCCAGCTAATTTTTTGTATTTTTAGTAGAGACGGGGTTTCACCATGTTGACCAGGATGGTCTCGATCTCTTGACCTTGTGATCCACCCGCCTCGGCCTCCCAAAGTGCTGGGATTACAGGCTTGAGCCACCGTGCCCGGCCTGCTTTTTCTCTTCTCATCACACTTCCTCCTCATCTTTGGACTGGGCTATTAAAAAATTGAGATTATAATACCTACCTTGAGGATTTTCTAGGAACATGAATTTAAATGAAATATGTGAAATGTATAGCATGGCGGTTCAGTGTTACTGGGTGTTCTAGGCTTCTTCTGTTTTCTACTCAATCCATCCCTCAAGTTCCAGTTTTTAGCCACTTCCTTTCTTTTTTATCCTGCTACCAGAGTTGTCTTCCCTAAGTACACTGCTTTTTTTTTTTTTTTTTTTTTTTTTTTTTTTTTTTAAGATGGAGTCTTGCTCTATTACCAGGCTGGAGTGCAGTGGCATGATCTTGGCACACTGCAACCTCCACCTCCCGGGTTCAGGTGATTCTCCTGCCTTAGCCTCCTGAGTAGCTGGGACTACAGGCACGTGCCACCACACCCAGCTAATTTTTGTATTTTCAGTAGAGATGGGGTTTCACCATGTTGGCCAGGATGGTCTCAATTTCTTGACCTCGTGATCTACCCACCTCGGCCTCCCCAAAGTTCTGGGATTACAGGCATGAGGCACTGTGCCTGGCACCTAAGTGCACTGATTTTTAAGCATGTTTGGTGTTTCCCCATTGCCTGCAGTGTAGCCCAACCTCCTTACAGGGAGTCCAGGCTCACAATCTAGTCCCATCTTTGCCGTCCAATCTTTTAACGCTTTACAGCCTCAACTCTCGCAAACCTTCCTTGCCTTTTTTTTTTTCTTTTCCCCTTTTAGGCAGAGTTTCATTCTGTCACACAGGCAGGAGTGCAGTGGTATGATCTCGGCTCACTGCAACTTCTGCCTCTACTGTTCAAGTGATTCTCCTGCCTCAGCCTCCCAAACAGATGGGATTACAGGCACGTGGACTATGCCTGGCTAATTTTTGTATTTTTAATAGAGACGGGGTTTCACCATCTTGGCCAGGCTGGTCTCAAACTCCTGAACTCAGGTTAGCCAACTGCCTTAGCCTCCCAAAGTACTGGGATTACAGGGGTGAGCCACTGCGTCTGGCCCTTTCTTGTTTTTTGTGTCCTAGCTACATTAGACCTCTAGATGTTGTTCACAACCCTATTTTGACGTTGTTTTTGTAGTCTTTGAATCAAAGTGCCCTTTTTTCCTTTCTCATTTATCCCTTGATTGTTTAAAACAATGAGTCAAAAATTTATTAATGTTATTTGGTAGAATTATGATATATGTGTATGTATGTATACGTATATGTGTATGACAAATACAAGTATCTCATAAGCTGTTTTATCATGACAAGGGGTAGCATGAGGTCAGCTCTGCCATCTGTTGGACATATTGTCTTGTTAAGAAGTAACTTAAACTCTCTAAACTTTTTTTTTTTTGAGATGGGGTCTTGTTCTGTTGCCTAGGCTGGAGTGGCATGATCTCGGCTCACTGCAGCCTCCGTCTCCCAGGTTCAAGCAGCTCTCCGACCTCAGCCTCCCAAGTAGCTGGGATTACAGGCTTACCACCACACCTGGCTAATTTTGTATTTTTAGTAGAGACGGGATTTCACCATGTTGGCCAGGCTGGTCCTGAACTCTTGACCTCAGGTAATCCACCCTTCTCAGCCTCCCAAAGTGCTGGGATTACAGGCATGAGCCACTGTGCCTGGCCTAAACTCTCTAAAGTTGTTCATTTTCATCTGTTAAATGAAGTGGGGTTTAGATGGATGGTCATTGTTTCTGTTCTTTTTAAAGGACTTGACCTGAACTTAATTATAACCCAGAAAAAGTGATTCTATGAGAGCTTACTCACCGAGACCACATTAAGTTCTAGAAGAACTTAAAGAATTTAGATATGGCATGGCATAATGGCCTGTGCCTGTAATCCTAGCACTTTGGAAGGCCAAGGAGGCAGGCAGATTGCTCGAGCCCAGGAGTTCAAGGTCAGCCTGGGCAACACGGTGAAACCCCATCTTTACTAAAAATACAAGAGTTAGCCAGGCATGGTGGCACACACCTGTAGTCCCAGCTACTTGGGAGGCTGAGGTGGGAGGATGGCCTGAGCCTGGGGAGGTTAAGACTGCAATGAGTCATGATCGAGTCACTGTATTCCAGCCTGGGTGACAGAGTGAGACTCTGTCTCAAAAATAAAGAACATAAGCAGAATTTAGATGTATTGCTAGTTAACAAGATTAGGGAAAAGAAGAATGAGCATTTGTGAGTGCCAAATACTTTATGTACCTTGTGTCATTTGATCCTTTGAAAGAAACCTCCACAGGTAGGTAGACAGTTTACAGGAAGAAAATGGAGGATTAGAAAGGGTAAGTTATTTGCCCAAGGTATAAATCTTGTTAGACTCTCTCTTAACTCTTGAAGTGGGGTTTAGATGGGTGGTCATTGCCTCTTGGGCCCTCCCACACACAGTAATGGCTGAGCAACCACATGTGCTTTAGCTTTTGTCAGCTGGAGTTTCTTTTCTTCACAGTGTTTCTTCTCTAGATTAGACAGTTTGGACAGTTTGGAAAGAAAAGTTTTGATTCAGTGTACAGGTTCATCCTAGGGTTTGTGTTTTTTCCCTTTCTCTCCGGGGCAGTATTTCTATTTAAACACTATTGTAGCCATAAAAAAAAAAAAAAAAAAAAAAAAAAAAAAAAAGAATATTTGGCTTTCTGTTACTGTGCTTAAAGTGTGCTATTTGTCTGTACATTGTATTTAAACTAATGAAACTGAAAGCAAATGTTCGTTAAATGAAACAGAAAGCAAATGTTTGTTTAACAGAATAAGAAAGAAGTAAAATTCGTTGCAGATACATTATTTATCACTTTTGTGTATCTGGAGTCCTGTATAGTTCAAAATCAAGGATTTTATTGCCTTGAGTTAAGCAGTAGTAGGCCGGGCACGGTGGCTCACACCTATAATCCCAGCACTTTGGGAGGCCGAGGCAGGTGGATTACGAGGTCAAGAGATCGAGACCTTCTTGGTCAACAAGGTGAAACCCCATCTCTACTAAAAATACAAAAATTAGCCAGGTGTGGTGGTGCACGCCTGTAGTCCCAGCTACTTGGGAGGCTGAGGCAGGAGAATTGCTTGAACCCAGGAGGCGGAGGCTGCGGTGAGCCGAGATTGTGCCATTGCACTCCAGTTTGGGTAACAACAGCGAAACTCCGTCTCAAAAAAAAAAAAAAAAAAAAAAAAAGTAGTAGTAGCAGTAATAAGGTCAGCAGCAAGAAGTAACATTGATTGAGCTGTAATGAAACGTTTATTTGTGTGTTACTATGTTTCCAAGTGCTTTACTTGTATTACAGGTCTTCTCAATAACCCTAGGAGGCAAGTAAAATTCTCTCCATTTTATAGATGAGGAAATCATGATACAGAGAGGGTGGGAAACTTGCTCAGGGTCATATAGCTAGGATACATACTCGCTGACTTGGCAGTTCTGAATTAATTTGAATGTATTTTATTGATCAGTTCAATACATTATTGAAATGTCCCTCAGTTAATGTGTTATCTCCTTTCCAGGGATTGATTACAGCATATCTTCAGTGTAAATATAACCAGGCCTACTTGTGTATGTATGGGACTTGCTTGAATTACTAAATTCCCTCAAGGAACTGAAGCAGTCCTTATTATGTGTTGTTAACAATGATATTTTTTAAATTCATGCATGAAAATATTATAGATTCATGAAGGTGCTTTAATTCTACAGAATGTCATTGAAGTGGAAAATTTAATATGCTTACATGCTGGCTGGGGAAATATGTTTTGGATTACAGTAGCTAAAGGATTTTTTAAGGGCTTGGCAGTTACGCTAATAAGTAAAGCAAACATCTTATTTAGCAAGAACTAATACTGTATTCTAAAATTGTGCTTTGCAGGAAGAAAGTTTCAGCTAATAGAGACGTCATATTTTTATAGGTTTGGAGAAATTTTTATTCGCTAACATATAGTACCTTGTGTTATGTTTGAATGCCTTTATGTTCAACTCAGTATTTTTCCTCCTTGTTTTTTTTTTAGTTCTTCACCAAAGGACATGGATGAAAATGAAAGCAACCAGTCCCTGATGACAAGCAGCCAATATCCTAAAGAAGCAGTAAGAAAACGTCAAAATTCAGCACGGAATTCTGGAGGAAGTGATTCTTCTAGGTTTTCTAGGAAAAGCTTCAAACTAGATTATAGACTAGAAGAAGATGTAACTAAATCTAAGAAAGGAAAAGATGGAAGATTTGTGAATCCGTGGCCAACATGGAAAAACCCCTCTATTCCAAATGTTCTCAGATGGCTGATAATGGAGAAAAATCACAGCAGTGTTCCAAGTTCTAAAGAGGTACCACTTGGCTTTTTTGTGTGCTTCATATTCACTCTTAATATATAAGACTCAAGTTAGTTATTTGAGCCCTCGTATATCAGACGGCATAGAATTCTGTCTGGGGAGATAAAGTGGATAGGTGTAACCTAGGTCCTAAAGTTCATCATTCAGCAGTAGAGAGTGCATATAGGAATAACCAACCATAACCTGGTGGTAACTAGAGGTAGGAACACAGTGCTTTAGAGGTACCAGAAAGAAAGTGATGCTGATGTGATGCTGACAGGCAGAGCTAGAGTTGGCTTGACACAGGAGGTGGATATTTGAGCTGGGCCTAGATTGCTAAGAAGTATTTTGACAGTGATTTTCCAGGTGGATGATGGTATGAACAAGGTCAGGAAGGTGAGAAAGTGCATGATATGCTGTGGAAGGTAGTAGCCTGGTGCGTGTGTGGAATAGATTATGAGGGTGAAGGCATGACCTAAAGTGCTTGGCTTTTACTCTTTGGACAAGGCTGCCAAAGCTATAAAAGGGAGCTTCAGATGACCTTTCCAGACCTTGAAATTTGACTATAGGTTCCTAGCCTTTAAATATACTAGTTTTACTTAGAATGATTCTACTTGGCCTTTTCCTATAGATCACAGTTTTCAATTAAGTTGATTTCATGGTTTCCTTTGAGTATATCAATATTTTTCATTGGTGAACCAAGTAAGTACTATAGCTATGTCTCCTTTCCATATATATATATATATATATATATATATATATACACCTCTCCTTTGGCCATGTTAACAACACCTCTTTTCATCTGTTTGACTTTCTATTTATGGATTATTTCCTGGCCTTCCATGGCTTCTCAGTGCCAATTTCCTGAGGGAAAGACCCGGAGGTGGTTGTTTAGCACAGGGCTGTAGTCTGAGCTGATGCCTTCCAGGGCTTCTGCTGGCTTCTGTTCTGGGGCACTTTTCACCAGCCTCCTGGGCTCTTTTGTGTCTTCTGCAGTGGCCCTTATTTTCTGCATCCCACTTGTTCCTCTGCCTGTGTCATTTTCTCATTTTGGGGGAGCACATTTTTAGTGAACTTCCTGAGAAAGGGTACGTGGAGAGTCAGTTGTCTGAAACCTTGCTTGTCTGAAATGTCTTTATTCTCACTCGTGATTGATAGTTTGGGTATAGAATTTTTGTTTGCAGTTTTCTCTCAGAATTTCAGAGTATTGCCTCCATAACTTTATTTCTGGTGTGGCTGTGGAGAAGTTCAGTGGCATTCTTACTCCCGATCCTTTGAACAGGCCCTTTATTTTCTCCCAAGAGACTTTGAGAATCATCTTCGGCACTAGTGTTCTGAAAATTGTCATGATATGTAGTTCTTTTATTCACTGTGCTCTGTGTTTGGTGGGCATTTCCTTCAGTTCTAGGAAATTTCATCTCTATCTTTTAAAATGCCTTTCCCTACATCTTTTTATTCTAAAATGACTATTAGTTGCAGTAGTTGTATTTTGGACCTCCTAGATTAATTCTCTATAATTAAAAAAAAAATTTCTCCTGTTTTTTTTTTTTTTTTTTTTTTTTTTTTTTTTTTTTCCTTCTTACAAACAAAGGTTTTATTGTGTTGGTCCACAGTTGTAGTTCATATTACCTCATGGAGCAGGGCTCCTGGGGTGGAGGTCCCTGTGCAGTAGTTGGTGGGGCAGATGAAGCAGTATAGCTGGTCAGGCTCAGAAGGGGAGAAGGAGGGCTGGGGGCTCCTTAAAACCTACTGAGAGGCTGGGCGTGGTGGCTCATGGCTGTGATCCCAGCACTTGGGGAGGCCTACGCGGGCAGATCACTTGAGTCCAGGAGTTTGAGACCAGCCTGACATCATAGTGAAACCTTGTTTCTACTAAAAATACAAAAATTAGCCAGGCATGGTGGAGCACCTGCAGTCTCAACTACTTGGGAGACTGAGGCAGGAGAAGCCCTTGAGTCTGGGAGGTGGAGGTGCAGTGAGCCAAGATCGAGCCACTGCACTCCAGCCTGGGCAACAAGAAGTACTAAAAAAAACTACTGAGGCCACAGTATGGGGGATTAGCATGAAGAGGAGGTCAGGCTTAGCCCCAGCAACTCAGAATTCCACTTCCTTGTACAGGCCTCAGTTTTCCCACTGGGCCCCAGGGCAGGTCTGAGGGTCTGAGGTCTGTTGGTCTTAGGGTCCTAGGGAAATCCAGCCTCTTTGGAGCCTAAGATATTTAGCATCATGGCCAAGCCCCATTTTCCACAACTCTTTTCCCAGCACCCTCTCCACTGTCCCCACCCCATTCCTTGGGGGAAAAAATGTATTTTTCTTTTGTTAATACTTTGTGAAACTTTTGCGGGTACATAAACCACAAACTGATCGGCTGACAAAAGGAGGAAGAGGTGAGGCAACCAGAAACCTTCGGGGACCGGTTCCCTCCAAGCCCAGGTCTCTTCTTCCCAGTACAGCTTGACCTACATGCCAGCAGGGACCCTCACCCTACATGCATTGGGATACAGCCCTGACCCCTTCTCCATATCCCATTGGCTCAGTCCTGTGAAGGACCAAGGCAAAGGGGAAAAAGACTCTGCTGCCTGATCCCATGCTGCCACTCACAGACCCTCAGTTGATTGGCAGCACTAAACAGGTTAAGAAAAGAGAAAGATGAAAACACAGAAAAACCCAAAAACCCAGATGGGGAAATGATGTGGGGAGAGAATGTTCCGGGAGCCTCAGTAGCTGGCTTCCTCCTGGTAGCAAGGGGGAGATTCAGGTACCTCCCCTGGTCATGGGCAGTCGCTGGCAGCCAAGGGAGCCCCATCGGCCACTGTGCCTTGCTAGCAGTACTTAGTATTGTATATCTGCTGGCCCAGGCCAAAGACCTAAGCACTCTGGTGCCCTGCGTGTAGCGCATCTGCAGGGACATGGAGTAGTTGTCATACTTGTCAATTCCTAGCTTGGTGTCGTAGATGTGCTGCTGCATCCCAGGAGCCGTCATGCCCACCTGGCTGGCACACTTGTTTGTACCCATCTGGAGGATGGTGCTTGAGTCATCCATGGGGGGCAGGATGTGGTTCCTGGGGTTATAGAGATGCCTCCTCGTGCTGTATGTGGTCATGTCTGACTGGCTGGCAGTCACATTTGTTGGTGCCCATCTGCAGCCTAGTGGCGCACTGGCTGGCTTTCATGGTGGTGGTGTCGAAGTTCTGCTCCTGATTCTCCGGGTACTTGATGCCAATGTCTACCCCTTCTGCAGCCCCTTAATCTTGACCTTCCCCACCAGGGCGAGAAGAGACACCTGCACCTGCGTCATGTTCCTACTCTCCAATAGGTTGTTGGCCTCAAACATGTCCACGGGGTTCATGCTGTAGCTGACCATGACCTTGATGAGGTTGGAGAGGTTTTCTAGCTGGTGTCACTTCTGCATGGAGCAGTTCGTCTTGGGGACTGAGCCCGGCTGTAGCTTGTTCATGGGTGTGCACAAGATAATCCTGTCCTTCAGACCCTTCTGGAAGTCAGGGCTGATGGAGAGGCTGGTGAGTCTCTCAATCCAGCTGTGGAGCTCTGCCTCCTTCTGGGGATCATATTTGGACAGGAGCCAGTTCTTGACCTCGGCCGACAGCCGTACAAGGGGTTCTTGTTGAACTGCATGGAGCTCGTGGCTGGTGAGCATGGTGGTGGGCGCGGTGGCAGGACGGGACCGGATGGGACTGGACAAGATGGGACTGTGGGGCAGGTGCTGGGCTGGGATGCCTCTCCTGTGTTTTATCTTTTTAAAAATATTACATGGCCAGGTGCAGTGGCTCATGCCTATATTACCCATACTTTAGGAGGCTGAGGCGGGAGGATTGCTTGGAGTTTAAGACTAGCCTGGGCAACATAGCAAAATGCCCTCGCTATAGAAAAAAAATGCAAAAAATTAGCCAGGTGCAGTAGAGTGTGCCTGTAATCCCAGCTACTTGGGAAGCTGAGGCAGGAGGATCACCTGAGCCTGGGAGGCAGAGGTTGCATTGAGCTGAGATCGTGCCACTACACTCCTGTCTGGGTGACAGAGCAAAACCCTGTCTCAAAAAAAAAAAAAAAAAATTACATTCTGAGGAGTTGGCTCCTGGGAGGAATGATGCTAGGTGCAGATGGAGTGTGGTTTTTGATGGCACCTTATAGACAGTTGTGTTCCAAAAGAGGGATGATAATAACTGCTGAGAGCCTAAAGAGCAAGCCTAACTCTAGCCATTGGCATACAGGCATTAAACAGAAAACTGGAAGTTGAAATGATAGAATCTTACTTGTCTAGACCAGCTTTATGGTTTTACTACTGGTAACGTTTTTATTTGTGGATGGCTTGAGTGCAGATTTTTGGAGACCTTCTAAAGGATGGAGAATCAGCTTGACAACAGTGAACATGTGGCAAGTTTTAAAGAAGCAAAGAACTTAAAATTCACGCTTGCAGAAGTTCAGGCAGACTTGATTTCGTAAAGATGTCTAGGGTTTTTAATGACCACAGATAGCAAACAAGCATGCAGCTTACCCCTTGATAGAGTCTCACTCTTGTCACCCAGGCTGGAGTACAGTAGCCCTTTGAGGCTCACTACAGCCTCAAATTCCTGGGCTTAAGTGATCCTCAGCCTCCCAGGGGTTTTTGTCGACAGCCTGATACAGTTTTATGGCAGAGAAGATTAATTAAACAATGTCTTCCAATTTTAATAAATTTCTGCAATCCCCCCAAAAAAGTTTCATTCTGAAAAATTTCCTCAATAATTTATTTGTTTCATTTTTTAAACCTTGTGTCTCATAGAGTTTTAGTAATGACTGAAAATGTCATGATACACAATTTTTTATAAAGCTAGAAAGTATGAATACTCTGATCTCAAACATGCCATGCATAAAATAGAACTACAAGTACAGATCATAATGTTAACAGTGGTTATAATCTCTGCATATTGTTATAGAGTGGCCACTATTTATATTTTTCTGCATTTTCCAGACATTAAGAGCATCATCTGTTATGATCAAGGAGTTTAAAAATATTAAGCCATTTTGATAGATCTTATACTCTTAATACATATGGCAAAAATGTCAAACATTAGCATCAATAATTAATTGAATTGGAGTTATTTTGGTAACACATCTATCTTTATTCAGTGTTCACATATATCTTATAAACGTGAAAAGGAAAAATGTTATTTTTTAATTTAAAAAATCTGAGTTGCAAATTACAGGTATAGGCAGTAAAGTTTTCTAAGGTGATTAAAATGTACCTTCAGCTGGAGGAAACGTATTATCTTGTCTTTAAACGTGGTATTTTAAAAACGTGGTTTAAATGGATTTGAATCGTGTCTCTTTTTTACCTCATTAATATACACAAACGCATGCTCTTGAAATAGTAAGTATATTAAGGAGATATGAGTTTCATTGTTTAATTTTAATGTAAGATAATATTTATGCCATGGAAGGAGCATAGCTTAGTGAAAGAGAGGTCTTTTGAGTCAGAAAGGCTTAGATTTCCCTCGTGATTGGGTACTTATCTGTTGTATGACTTTGGCAAGTTTCTTAGTGACCTTAGTCTGCCTTGGTCTGGTCATCTGTAAAATGGCAGTAATATCTGCTTCACACATTTAGATGACACAATATACCTGAAGCACCTTCCAAAGAGTAGCAATTGAATGAATGTTAGGATTTTTCTCTTTTCCCGAGAAATGTAAAACATTAACTAGTGTACTAGTTAATTATGAGTCTTGGGATTTTCCCTTTTTCAGCTTTCAAAAAGGAAGACCAGCCAAGAAAGTCTTGATCTAGCCAAGAAAATGCAAGTGAGGCTGGGGCGTGGTGGCTCACACCTGTAATCCCAGCACTTTGGGAGGCTGAGGCAGGTGGATCATGAGGTCAGGAGTCTGAGACCAGCCTGACCAACATGGTGAAACCCTGTCTCTGCTAAAAATACAAAAGTTAGCCGAGCATGATGGTGCACGTCTGTAATCCCAGCTACTCAGGAGGCTGAGGTAGGAGAATCGCTTGAACCTGGGAGGCAGAGGTTGCAGTGAGCCAAGATTGCACCATTGCACTCCAGCCTGGGCAACAGAGTGAGACTCTGTCTCAAAAAAAAAAAAACCAAAAAACAGTTTATTAACATAATATAGTCTTCACGTATTTAAAATGCATAATTTGATGAGTTTTGACATATGTGTATACCCACAAGAAGATCACCACAATCCATATAATAAACGTATCTATTATCCCCCAAAGTTTCCTTGTGTCCTTTTGAAATCCATCTCCACTTATTCTCCCAACCTGCACCCCAGGCTGTTACTTTTTAAGAAAACATGTTATTAAATGAGGTTTAATGGGAAGAAGTATGGTTTACTACAGTGGCTCTGGCTGGGTGACCTTGCCTGAGTGCTGTCACTTCTCTAATTCATTGTTTTCTTATCTGTAGAATGGAGCTGGCTTATAGGACCTACCTTCAGTGTTGTGGTTAGTAGCCAGTAGCAGTTAGTACATTGTCTAGCACATAATAAGCACTTCATAAATGGTAGCTATTGTTAATAGTTTTTTATTTTGTGTTATGCTAAAGTACTTGATATATTAGGTAGCTCATCATCATCATCATCATTATCATCATCATCATCATCATCATCGCTCCGTGCCCAATATGATGCTAAGTATGAGTACATAGTAGATACTCAGTTTATATTCATTTCCCCTCCCTTTCCTCATTAATTCTTGATAAGTATGCCGCTTGGCATATGTCATTGTTCAGTAATGTAACTACCAAATTTAAGAACGGATTGAAAGTTGACATTCATTTATTTACTCATCCAACAAATTTTGTTGAGCACATGCTGTGTTTTACTCATTAGACTGAGCACTGTGAATGATTCCACCTTTCATAAGACATGGGATAGATTCTGTATACATAGAATATCCAGAGGAGATGTGTGAATAGGGAGATATGGAAGTTGAGAGGCAGGAGTGAGTGCTTCCAGCTGTGGAAACTCAAGAGATGGCCCGAAGGAATGAGCGGGGAAGGTAATTTAACCTGAGAAATGGGGTGAGTGCCATGTGGGGTTCTTGAGCTCAGTCTATACTGGGAAGCAGTCTTCATGTAGGTGGGGCACAGCACATGTGGAAGAGGAGCATGAAACACAGCTAGACAGGAGAATTGGGGCAGTCCCTGGGCCGCTCACTGCTGGGCGGAGGAGGTGAGACAGACTTTGTCAGCCAGTGGAGAGCCAGTGAAGATTTTGCAGCAGAGGAGGCTTATGTAATGCCTTAAGTTGGCTGTTTTCGAGGTGGCTCTTGTGCATGGAGTGAATTGACAGGTTGAGCAATCTGGAGAGCTTTGAATGTCTGGATATTTCTTAGCATCTTAACTAGGTTAGTGGTTTCATGGAAATGTGTAAGATTGGTAGGATTGGTGCCTGATGGGTTGTCATGGTTGGAACTTGCTTGCTTCTCCTTTGGAATACTTTGTAGAGTGCTTATTGTGTGCCAGCCACTCCCTAATTCTACAGAAATGAAGCATAGGTACAATTATTCCCATTTTCCAGGTGACGAAATTAAAGATTAGAATGGCTAAGAGAAACCTTTTTGTCCTCCACCTGTGCTGCTCCTTCTCTTCCTGTCCAGGTCTTCTTCCCATTCAGACTTTCCCACTGACCTCTCAGTTTCTCTTCACCAGCATCTCCCCATCTCCCCTCTCTTTCTCTATCTACCACTGTCTCCTTTGCTCAGGTCCTCATCTCTTCACATCTTGGCCACTGTTGTGACACTCTCTGTGGCATTATTTGGACTCTAGAATTGTTTTATCTAAACATGAGGGCAAAAAGATGCTGTCTAGGCCGGATGTGGTGGCTCACACCTGTAATCATAGCACTTTGCGAAGCAGATCGCTTCAGCGCAGGAGTTCAACGCCAGCCTGGGCAACGTGGCGAAGCCCACTCTGTCTCCACAAAAAAAAAGATGCTTCCTCATTTTCTTAGAGTGAACCCTGACACTCAAGTTTCTTACTATATTCTCATCTTTATAGATTTAGTTTGTCCCCTGCCCTCAGACACCACATTTCTGTTTGGCTCTGTACCTTTGCTTGGATAGTTTCTTCACTTCAAATGCCCTTCTTCCTTTTCTCTGTATCATGAATTTCTCATCATTCTTTAGGAACTCACACAAGTCGCTGTGTCTGTTGCCTCTGGCAACTGGGATCTTCATTCCCTCTTATCAGTCTATAACATGACCTGTATTTTAACTACTTACCCAGTACCACACTGTTTCAAAGTTGATTTAGTGGCAACTTAAAAAGATACCTTAAGCAGTAAAAAAAGAAATGGATGAGCATCTAGGAGCAAGTGAGCTATTAGACTAGAAAACTAAAATAAAGCCAAGAATGAAGTTAATACAGAAATATGTTCCATGATGTGCTGCACATGGCTGCAGGTAGCCTCAGCTTTTCCTCTAAACTTCCTAAGAGAGAAGTAGCGTGAAATCTTAAGTTTTCTCAGTGACAGAAATGAGAAAGCCAGGTGCTCTAGAGGAGGAGAGCTTTTCCTGTTACAAGATGTGAGAGAAATGTTTCTGGGTTAAGTAGGAAGGTGGAGGTGGTACCAAGTCTGCAGTCTGAACACATACATGGCAAGTTTCATCAGTTGGCTTCCTATGAGAGACCTCCCTGCAGTTACGCAGCATGGTACCAGAGCACAATTCAATAAAAGAGCTTTATAAAAGTCAGTACTGTGATGCTGCAACTCTATAACTTTTTGTTGGCCTAGCTTAATCCAGGTATAAACTGTAGAATAAGGACTAATACTCTTCACCCTTTGTTATAGTTATTGTTTTATATCCATTTACCATCCCCCCTTACCTCAGTGATCAACTTCTCACAGGAAAGGATCATATTCATGTTGGTTTGATCAATGGTAGAAAAGCAGAAGGGTAATGAATTAGGAAAACAAAACAATATATGACTATGATATGTGTGGGAATCATCACAGTGGTCCATTTTAAATTATAAGTACTCAGAAAGTGAGATTCAGGCCAGGCACAGTGGCTCATGCCTATAATACCAGCACTTTGGGAGGCCAAGGCAGGAGGATCACTTGAGCCCAGGAGTTCAAGACCAGTCTGGGCAACATAATGAGATCTTATCTCTTCAAAAAATAAAACATTAGCTGGATGTGGTGGTGCTGTGTGCCTGTGGTCCCAAGCTGAGAGGTTGAGCTGGGATGATCACTTGACCCTGGGAGGTTGTGGCTGCAGTGAGCTCTGATTATGCCACTGCACTCTAGCCTGGCTGACAGAGCGAGAGCCTGTCTCAAACAAAAACAAACAAAAAAAAAGAGAGAGAAAAAATATCAGATTCATGATTCATGTCTGAGATCCAAGAGCTACAAATAAGTGATCATAAGCTTTCTTTACTATTTCCAGAGACCGACCTGCTTTTAAGGCAGTTTTTAGCAGCAAATATATCAGCTGAGTAGAATGGCAATAGAAAAATGACTTCATCTAGGCCAGTCTCCTTCTGGCCCTACCAAAGAGAGCCTTTAAAAAATTCATACATTTAGCAGCACTCAAAGTTTTAAATTTAATTTTCCCTTTTGGATGGGATGAAGAAGATTACTATATTATGATTATTAAGTCAGATTCAGAAAGAAGTGTGCATTTTCAAGAAAAAAACAAAGTGAGCAAGTTTATTGAATGACTTTAGTGCTCTGAAAATAGCTCTTCTTGCTATAATTTAGGTCAAAATGTGTTCCATGATGATATAATCTTTTTTTCAAACTACTGCTTTGTCTACTTTCTTTATACAAAAAGGAACTTGACAAAGAACTCCCAGTGCTTACGCCGTATTTTATCACTAACCCTGAAGAAGCTGGAGTGAGAGAAGCTGGCTTAAGAGTCACATGGCTGGGACATGCCACGGTAATGGTGGAAATGGATGAGCTCATATTTCTCACGGATCCCATCTTTAGCTCTCGTGCTTCACCTTCGCAGTACATGGGTCCAAAGCGATTTCGTCGTTCCCCGTGCAGAATAAGTGAACTCCCTCCAATAGATGCAGTCCTTATCAGTCACAACCACTATGACCATCTGGACTACAATTCTGTCATTGCTTTGAATGAGCGATTTGGTAATGAGTTGAGATGGTTTGTGCCTTTGGGTCTCCTTGACTGGATGCAAAAATGTGGCTGTGAGAATGTGATTGAGCTAGACTGGTGGGAGGAGAATTGTGTCCCCGGACATGATAAGGTCACCTTTGTCTTTACACCTTCCCAGCACTGGTGTAAAAGGACTCTAATGGATGACAACAAGGTGCTGTGGGGCAGCTGGTCTGTCTTGGGGCCTTGGAATCGATTTTTTTTTGCAGGAGATACTGGTTATTGTTCTGCTTTTGAAGAGATAGGAAAAAGATTTGGACCTTTTGACCTTGCAGCTATTCCCATTGGAGCTTATGAACCACGGTATGTAGACTTCCCAAATAAAACATTCCTGTTACATGATAAGTTACCTGAATTTAAAAGTAATTATGATTTTTGTCACACTGTACTTTATTATTTTAATGGTAGACTTTTTTTTTTCCTTTTGTTTGGTGGACTTTGTTATACATGTCAGATTCAGTTAGTTTTCTTATTTTTAAATATTTTAAATATTTTTAAATTGACAAGTAAAAATTGTGTATATGTTGTGCAACATGATGTTTTGATATATGTATGCCTTATGGAATGACTACATCAAACTATTTAACGTGCATTATCTCACATCCTTATTTTTTTGTGATGAGAATTAAAATATTTTAATTACAGTCATATCAGTTAAAAAATTACTCAAAATCAGAGATGATATTACCATAAAAAAGGGATCAACGTTTAAAGAATTACTATACCTAGCCAGAAATTCATGTGCCATTCAACTAAAGTTAAACTGGTCAGCCAATAATAAAACCTTCTCTTGTTCATTCACATGGAGAATACTTTTTTTATATAACTGCTTCTTGCCTCATGACTTGAGTGCCCCAGTCCTCTGTCCTATAGCTCTTGTACGTTTAGCAAAGAGAAAAAGCAAGGAATTGGCCTGTAGCATCAGTGCCTTTGTGATGGTTTTATTTCAGTCAGCACTGAAGTTAATTTTAATCTGGTCATGGCGTTGTTGTACTGCTCACCGTTCATCCTCCAACCTTGACATACTCATGACCTGTTTCAGAGCAGCGAAAGGTCACACTGTCATTGGGCCTAGGAATTTCATCCACTGTCTTTGTTTTCCTTAATACTCTCTGTTTAGGGAAAAGAGAAATGATTCAAAGAATTAAGTTAGATTTCAGTCAATTCTGTTTTATATGTGCAGTAAAGGAAAAACAAACAATGATGGTGACAAAAGAATGGATAATTTAAAAAATATTTTATTCTATAGCTCATGGACAGATACATACAAATATATTTTGTTCAGGTAATTTTATAAGCGGAAGAACAAGTATTTCTCTAATACATGGATGAATTCAATGAATATGCTATTTTATTTTCATCTGATTTCTTTCTTTTTTTTTTTTTTTTTTGAGATGGAGTCTTGCTCTGTCATCATCTAGGCTGGAGTGATCTTGGCTCACTGCAACCTCCGCCTCCTGAGTTTAAGCAATTCTCTTGCCTCAGCCTCCAGAGTAGCTGGGACTACAGGTGCCTGCCACCACACACAGTTAATTTTTTGTATTTTTAGTAGACGTGGGGTTTCACCATGTTAGGGAGGATGGTCTCAATCTCCTGACCTCGTTGATCTGCCTGCCTTCTTGGCCTCTCACAGTGTTGGGATTACAGGCATGAGTTACCATGCCCAGCCTCATCTGATTTTGTTATACTTATTTGTTAAATTTTACATTCGCTTAAACTATTTTGCCCCTATTTTTATTTATTAATGCTTACTTATTCCTTTTTTTTTTTTTTTTGCTAGTTTTCTTATTTGAGGGTGCTAGATATTTTTATCCTTTTTGGTTCTTGATGGTTATTAAAATGATTACAAATCAATATTGGTGCTTGAATTTTACTTTTCCAATTATAGTTATAATTCCAAAAAGAAACTCTCAAAACCTGTCAACCTGTATATTTTTAGAACTGTTTTATTTATTTATTTTTATATCAACTCCTCAGAGTTATATTTTTAGAACTGTTACAAATCAATTTTATATTCCTAACATAAAATTGGTCTTTACTCAGTTGTGTGTGGTGGCTCACACCTATAATCCCAGCACTTTGGGAGGCTGAGGCAGGTGGATCATGAGTTCAGGAGTTCAAGACCAGCCTGGCCAACATAGTGAAACCCCGTCTCTACTAAAAATACAACAATTAGTCAGGTGTGGTGGCACGCACTTGTAATCCCAGCTACTTGGGAGGCTTAGGCAGGAGAATTGCTTAAACCTGGGAGGCAGAGGTTCCAGTGAGCTGAGATTGTGCCAGTGTACTCCAGCTTGGGCAACAGAGTGAGCCTCCATCTCAAAAAAAAAAAAAAAAAGATTGGTCTTTACTTGATATATGTTCTTTTTTTGTTTTGTTTTGTTTGAGATGGAGTCTCACTCTTTTGCCCAGGCTGGAGTGAAGTGGCGTGATCTTGGCTCACCACAACCTCCACCCGCCAGGTTCAAGGAATTCTCACTCAGTCTTCCAAGTAGCTGGGACTACAGGCGCCCACCACTACACCTGGCTAGTTTGTGTGTGTGTGTGTGTGTGTGTGTGTGTGTTTGTGTGTGTGTGTGTGTGTGTGTTTTTAGCAGAGATGAGGTTTCACCATGTTGGCCAGACTCGTTTCAAGCTCCTGATTTCAAGTGGTCTGCCTGCCTTGGCGTTCCAAAGTGCTAGGATTATAGATGTGAGCCACTGTGCCTGGCCTAATGTATCTTCTTAACATATTAGAACATCTTTTATTTGTTGTTATGAAAATAAGTAATATGTGATAAGAAAATCTGTACAACAAAATTACTCACATAATCCCCCTTTCCTGCTGACAAGGAGGCTATTATTTGCCCTAAGAGAGTTAAATGTGGTAGCCTCTAATGTGTAATCTGTTTCTTTGGTTAGTATTAACAGCTTTAGAAATAAGATTATCCATTGAACAAAGCTTGAGGGTGCTCTATAAATTTAAGATATTTACACCAAAAACAACTTTCAATAATATGCTTGGAGTATTTCATTCTTAGTTTAGGGATCTGTCAGCAGATATTCTACCCAAGTCAGTTAAGATTTTAAGTTTTTATTTTGTTGTAACAGAGTAAAATTTTTAAATCTATTTCAGGTGGACAGGAATGTATCTATCCCTTTGATTTGTACTAAGATTAAAAAAAAAAGAGAGAAACACCAAAAACCGTTTTCATCTTTCCCTGAATTCCAAGAGTCAGGAGATAATGGCAGAACAGTGCTGCTCTCATTTGCTGTTGAGGAGAACACAGTGGCTTTGTTTTTAGGCTTCTGTAGGACCCAGCAACTCCTAACAGTAAATTTCTGTTGCTGATGGATAAACTTCTCTCTGGTGTCTTCTGTAAAGCATGGAATCTCCTGTGCTGAATCCATGTCTGCTGGTCTTCACTGTAGTGTTAGTTGTCAGTGGCAGAGTAGGATGTAAATAATGTGAACACAGTGCTGTTTTTCCCCCTTGAAACTGATGACTTAGAAGGCAAAGGATTTGCTTGTAGACAGTACACTTTCTCCTTTGTATCAGAAATAATAAATCTTTGTTCTGAAAGTGTTGGTTTTATTTACACTTTTGGGAGAATACTGTAAAAGTAGATGATGTTCTCGATGCCTTCCTAAGCCTTGTCTTGTTTAATTCTCACAATATCCTCACATAATGGGGTAAATTTATATTTCATGAACAAAGAAATAGAAGCTCAGGGAATTTGAACAGCCTTTCCAAAGGCTAGGAACTGCAAGAGCTGGGATTCACACCCAAGCCTTCTGCCTCCTGAGCCCTTGCTCTTCCCAAGGCATTAGGCAGCCTTTCGTTATTTCCTTAGTCTGCTCTTCTTGCTGAACCAACATCTCATTGTTCAGTTTTATGATTAAATAAAATTTTTTGAATAGTAATTGGATAGTTTGTCTCCCATTTTAAATTTTATGTACTAGTTTTTGTTTCTTTTTGCTTTAGCAAGTTTTTAAAAAATTTGCATCAGTAGGACATACAGATTCTTTTGTAATTGGAATTTTGGTTTTTAGTTCTTTACCCATTATTCAGTTTCTTTGATGCATATCCAGGACTGTAAAATATTTACTTTTTAAAGTAGCAGTGAGGTAGGAGACCAGCAGGACTTATTTCCCAGTCTCAGTGGATAAAGTAAAAAAACTGAAAAAAGCCGGCAAATAGTGACCCTATCTGCACTCATTGCTCATTAGCCCAAGACACTTCCACCAGCATCGTGACAGTTTACAAATGCCATGGCAACAACCTAGAAGTTACTGCCCCTTTCCATGGCAATGACCAAGTAGTTACTGCCTCTTTCCTAGAAGGTTCTAAATAACCTGCCCTTCAAGTTTGCATTAACCCACTCCTAATTTACATATAATTAAAAGTGGGTACAAGTGAGTATAAATACAGTTGCCAACCGCTCATATGTTGCCAACTTTGAGTGCGTTCACTTCCTGTAAATTAGCCCTGTTATGCAAGGAGCCGTACCATTTAATAAAAATTGCCATCCAACACCACCGGCTTGCCCTTGAATTATTTCCTTTGTGAAGCCAAAAACCATCCTTGGCTAAGCCCCAATTTTGGGGCTTGCCTCCCCTGCATCATCAGTAAGGTGTATCTTCAGATAGATCCAGTAAAATCAAAATATACATGAAACAAAAACCTCATTGTTCAGAGGGGAGTTTGCTTGAGACTTGCTTATTTTATGGCAATTCGTACAAAAAAAAGACTTTTGCTTGTTTTATTTTTCAGCAGAAAGTGTACTAAAGTGAGATGGTTTTGCTTACTGTGACTTATTCCTGTGCAGAATTTGTTTTGTTTTTGTTTTTACAGTTTAGCCTTGACCTGGCCTTCAGGCTTGATTTCTAGCTCATCCTCCCCCAAATTGCATATGTTTTATCACAGTAGTTCTTAATTCCCAACATCCCTAGTCCCTTGCAGAATCTTAAAGTTTGATGAAATGAAACAGTATTTAGAATTTAGTGTATATCTCAAAGGTCAGACTTAAGAAATTGCTGTGTTTCATCAGGTGGTTTATGAAATACCAGCATGTAGACCCAGAAGAAGCTGTAAGGATTCACATTGATGTCCAAACAAAGAAATCTATGGCAATTCACTGGGGAACTTTTGCCTTAGCAAATGAGGTAAGTTTGATAAAAATTACTTTCTGTGTTTGACCAATGATAGGATTCAGGCATCACTGTTCCCTATTAGTGTTTTCAGACACAAGACTCTGGAATCGCATCCTGCAGTCATCACAGTCACTACATGAATTCGTATGGTAAGTCATGCTAACTAGTAGAACAGTACACACACACAGTCAGAAAAAAAAAACCCCTCATTGTGTGTTCTTTTGGCTTATTTCTGAAGTTAGTAAAGCTTGTGTTGTCCGGAGAATAGAAAAGCAACCCATCACGTCTCACTCTTCAGGCAGGCTCTCATTCTAGCAGTGACTCAAGCCTGTAATCCCAGCACTTTGGGAAGCCAAGCTGGGTGGATCATGAGGTCAGGAGTTCGAGACCAGTCTGGCCAATATGGTGAAACCCTGTCTTTACTAAAAATACAAAAATTAGACAGGCGTGGTGGTGCGTGCCTGTAGTCCCAGCTGCTCGGGAGGCTGAGGCAGAATTGCTTCAACCCAGAAGGCAGAGGTTGCAGTGATTGGAGATCATGTCACTGCACTTTAGCCTGGATGACAGAGTGAGACTCCATTTCAAAAAAAAAAAAGATGGAAGTCACATACGTGACACAGATGTTAGAAGGGGAAAGTGCTGTAGTGTGGAACAGATGAGATGGTCTCAGAATCGGGATGACTGCTAGAAGGCATTTTCAGAGGAGGAAAGGGCGGAGCGTAGGCTTGTAGGCAGCTAATGTGGGGAATAGTTGAGTCAGTTCAGCAGGAGAATGGAGGGCAATAGGGAGAAGTACGGCTAGATAGTGTGGAACTTTCTAGAAATACGTTCAATAAACATTGACTCGGTGTCTGCTATGTGCCAGGCATAGGGATAAAAGTGATTTGATTCCTTGATTAAAACAGAAGAGCTAATTTTTACTTAAGAGAGATGGGTCCTAGAACTCTGCTAATAGCCTGGGTTCTGGGATCCAGCAGAGGATAGCATAAAGCTTGCTTTCCTTTCCTAGATCCAAGGTATTCTCTAAACAAAACTTAGAAATGTATGGTTAGGCTGGGCGTGATGGCTCACTCCTGTAATCCCAGCATTTTGGGAGTCCAAGGCAGGTGGATCACCTGAGGTCAGGAGTTTGAGACCAGCCTGACCATCATGGCGAAACCCTATCTCTACTAAAATTAGCTGGGCATGGTAGCAGACACCTACAATCCCAGCTATTCAGGAGGCTAACATAGGAGAATCACTGGAACCTGGTGGGGGTAGGGAGGATGGGCAGAGGTTGCAGTGAGCCAAAATTGCACCACTGCACTCCAGCCTGGGTTAAAGAGCGAAACTCTATCTCAAAACCAAAAAAGGTATAAGCACTTGCTTCTTTACTTTCTGTGACGTCTTCCACATCCCAGAGCTTCTCTGTAGGAACCGTGTTTTCTTGCGGTTTTAAGTATTCCTCTCATTTCTGGCCTGGTTTCTCCCAAAGATGCAGCGTATTCCAAAATTACCTAGTACACTGCCTGCCTGTTCCCCGTACACTGCCTGCCTGTTCCCCCACTCCCCAATCAAAATTCCCATGCCATGGAGCAGCAACTCTGAGCCACAATGCAGCAATTCTTAGCTACCATTGGGAGCAGGAATAGAATGACTAGCCATGGTGTGTGGGGAGGATAAATGAGAGTATAAATGTGTGTGTGTGTGTATTTGGAGAAGGGAGAAGTTTGAGACTGGTTTCCAGTGTCATACCACTGTATTTAGTGACAGTTTCTTTCTTTTCTTTTTTTTGAGGTGGAGTCTTGCTCTGTTGCCCGGGCTGGAGTGCAGTGGCACTATCTTGGCTCACTGCAACCTCTGTCTCCCGGGTTCAAGTGATTCTCCTGCCTCAAACTTCTGAGTAGCTGAGACTACAGGCGCACTCCACCACGCCTGTCTAATTTTCATATTTTTAGTAGAGACAGGGTTTCACCATATTGGTCAGGCTGGTCTTGAACTCCTGACCTCAAGATTTACCTCCCTTGGCCTCCCAAAGTGCTGGGATTACCAGGCGTGAGCTACCACGCCTGGCCCAGTGACAATTTCTTATTCCATATGTGTGTGTGTGTGTGTGTGTGTGTATGCACATATTTCATATGTATATTCCATATATATGTGACTTAGATGAAGTAATGGTATTTTATTAAACCTATGCAAAGAAAGGAATCAAGGTTGACTCCTAGATTTTTAGCTTGAGTAAATGGTTAGAGACTTGTGCTGTTTACTGAGATGGGAAAGATGAGAGAGGGTTAAAAAAAACCTGTCTTTGAGAATTACTGTGTTACTCAGCTGTCAAGAATTACTCCTTGACAGTAAACCTGAACCTAACCTCCATCTTTATTTCTTAATGAGAATATAATAAAAACTCATTTAACTTTCAGCAGTTTGGAATTTGTTCATTTTGATGTTGAATAAACTTAGTAACTATGAGTTAGTTAAATTATAAAGTAGATATAATCTTTAGAGAGGATGTGTTACCCATGACTTCTAAATACTTAACACTCTTTGCATATATGCTGTTATAATAGCTGCCTCCTGTAATCTCAGCAGATTAAGGATGTACTTAACTTGGCAACACTCTAAAATTGCATATATAGCAACATCTAATTTATGTAGGGAATGATGAGTGGATTTCCTACATATATTTAAGCACTGAAACTTAAATTACTAATTTTGATGGAAATGAATTTCAAGCATTATATAACATGTACATTGCCTTTCAAGTGACCAGGATCTTTGCTTTGAATATATTCTGTTGTGCCAGATCATGAAACTGACCCCTTTAGGAATTTACAGGTTTTGTGTGGCTAGCCCCTAACGGATCCAGAGTGCTGGGAGTCTTCTGCTTTTCCCACTTACTCGTATTACTCTCTGACGTCGTGTTTTATACATAGTTGTTTTGTCCCATGGTTATCAACTGTTATCAACTGTCCATTAGTAAGGGGTTAGCTCTAGGAATACTGGATAAACCACATATAGTTAAAACATAACTTAGTAGTCAGTTGAAAGGTATCCTTGATCCTTTAAACACAGCCATAAAACCTGGAGCTGAGCCAGGAGGAAAAGGATGACCTGTGTGGCTAGTAACTGTTACCAAACCTGTGCATTTTAGGCCTCAGGAAACTCACCTGGTTTTCCTTGTCCATCACTGGCTGTCCTTCCTTTGTCTCTGTTGCTAGTCCCTCCCCTCTGCTTGCTCTGAACACTGCATGCCTTGGGAGTCAGTCCATGGACTTCTTCTCCTCTATAGGTGTTTCTCCCTTAGGGATTGCATCCAGTCTTACGGCTTTAAATACCACCTATCTGCTGTTCCTCTTTAGCTTAGATATTTTTCCTCTGTAATCCACATGTATATATCCAGCTGCCTATGTCACATCTCCACTTGGATATCCATTAGGTACCTAGAGTTAAAGTCTGAAATCCAACTTCCTCAAGCTTATTTTTCAGACATCTCAGTAAAAGATGACTCCCATTTACCAATTGCTGAGGCCAAAATCTTGACTCCTCTTTGCCACACACAGCTCAACCTTCAGATTATATTCAGAATTTGACCACTTCTCACCACCTTCACTGCTACCACTCTGCCCCTTAGATTCTGCTCCCAACACTGTAGAGAGAGGGCAGTGACCTTTACAACTGGAAGCAATCATGGCAGAGGGATCCCGTAGCTTCCCATCACACTCAGAGTCATAAGCCTCAGCTCTCACAGTTGCCTACAAAGCTTATGCAGTCTGTTCTATCAGATCTTTGCTCAGATGTCACCTTCTTGAAGATTTAAAACTGTTGAATTTAAAGGTAAATGTCTATCCCCTGCACTTATCACTCCTCCCCTTTCTTCTCCTTAGAACATATCAACCTCTCAGATACAATCTGTTTTCTTAATATTCATTTCTTGTCTATCTCTGTGTCAGAATATAAGCTCCATGAAGGCAAGGATTTTTGTTTGGCTCATTAGCCTGGCATGTTCTGTAGGTGCTGAAAAGATATTTGTTGCCTAAAGAGAGGCAGATTTCTCACTGGTGATGAGATCAGAGACTGATTTTTTATTCTTGCTTTATACTTCCACCACATTTTACAACTTTTCTTTTTTTTTTTTTCTTTTTTTTTTGGAGACGGAGTTTCGCTCTTGTTACCCAGACTGGAGTGCAATGGCACGATCTCGGCTCACCGCAACCTCCGCCTCCTGGGTTCAAGCAATTCTCCTGCCTCAGCCTCCTGAGTAGCTGGGATTACAGGCACGTGCCACCATGCCCAGCTAATGTTTTGTATTTTTAGTAGAGATGGGGTTTCACCATGTTCACCAGATGGTCTCGATCTCTCGACCTCGTGATCCACCCGCCTCGGCCTCCCAAAGTGCTGGGATTTACAGGCTCGAGCCACCGCGCCCGGCCGACTTTTCTAATTGAAATTGGGGAAAAAAGCCGTTTGAGTAAAGAAAAAATTGGCTATTATACAATGTGAAGATGTAGACCAAAAGAGAAATAACTGATGATTTGTCATTTATTAGTAAATTAACTATTAGTAAATTAAAAGGTAAACATACTTTTATTCCATATTCAGGTGGTCTCAATTTATTGGAAAACATTTTAGTGGGTGAAAACACTGTCAAACGTGCTGTATGCTGTCTTCCATTTTTGTTGAGCAATGAAAAGTCGAGGATATAAAGGGAAATTAGAAACGCCACCTGTTGTAGCCCTATTCTCTGGGACTCTCTTTCATTCTGCAGACTGTGGTTTCTGTATTTGATTGGACTTTTTGAGGACAACAACCCTTCTTCAGCCAATACAGTTTGCTCTAGCACCTGCTTACACACACACACACATACACACACACACACACCCCTCACACAATCTCAAATTTCTGTGTTTTTCAAAAATGTTAACATGTAATTATCTAATACCATCTTTGGCACTGATTCCATTTAGACTTGAATTTCATATGGTAAAAGTGATGATTTCATGCAATCCAATGATGTTCAAAGTTAAGATGGCACCAAATTTGATATGCGTGGTTTTGGCATGATTTCTATCCACCATATACATTTCTGTTGACTCATGACTCAAAACTGTATTAGAAAATGTGATAGACCCATTTGCTAATGCTTCAATTAAATGAAAAGGCCTTATTTTAACAAGGCATCTGTTAGTTATTTTAGTTTGAACTGTTATTGAAGTATCTCCCAAATATATGTATAGTTAATCTTTTTCTATTTTTCTTCTACCTTTGGCCAGCATTACTTAGAGCCTCCAGTGAAGCTGAATGAAGCTCTAGAGAGATATGGACTTAACGCTGAAGATTTTTTTGTCTTGAAGCATGGAGAATCAAGATACCTAAATACCGATGATGAAAACTTTTAATAAATGTGAGCACAGGCACTTGTAATGAAAAAGGCGTCATCTGATGTAAGTTTAAAAACAAATGAAAAGACTCAGAAATTCATGAATATTATGATTCTTTCACATTTGGAAACAACTTCTACAAATTTGTGTTTTATGTTTTGTGTAATAAACGTGCTTCCTAATATGATCAGCTCATATACATACACTGTGAGAGGGTTCAGGGGTGGGTCATTTAAATGATGAATTGGCTAATGTGGATTTTAAATCTCATAGCAGGATATAAGCACTGCAATGGAAATGTTTTTACTAAAGTATTATTCGTGGTTGTAAAATTTTCTGAGGTTGTGAAAAACTGACATTAAAGACTCATTTCTGTTTTTTCCATTCTTCAGGACCTTTTGCAAGGTGAGTCAAGGCTGTCTACCTACCTAGATTTGTTTCAGAGGCCTACACATAAAAATGTGTCTTATATGCCCATTATAACAAATGATCAAACTGACTCCAACATGCTTATAACATAGCAATTCTTGCTCTATCAAGATTAGCTTATGTGCCAAATATGAAATATGGTTTATTTTGGTAAGCATAAAAACATAGGGGCTATCATTTTTAAAGACTTGATTTTTTTTATTGTGGTAAAATATACAAATGCATAAAATTTACCATTTTAACCATTTTTAAGTGTACAGTTCTTTGGCATTAATGCAGTCATGAGCACCATTCACTTAAATTTTAAAAGTGAAAAATTAAATTAAATTTTTAAATTTTTTCCTAGAGCCTTCAAGACGAGAAGGAACAGTATATTCTGTTGCATGTCTACAATTCCCAAATCAAAAGGCCTCTTACTTTGGGAGGCCAAGGTGGGTAGATCACTCTAACCAAGGAGTTTGAGTCCAGCCTGGGCAACATGGTGACCCTGTCTCTAGAAAAAAGAAAAATAGCCGGGAGAGGTGGCGTGGTAGTCACAGCTACTTGGCAGGCTGAGGTGGGAGGATCATTGGAGCTCAGGAGGTAGAGGCTGTAGTGAGCTGTGATCGTACCACTGCATTCCAGCTTGGGTGACAAAATGAGACCCTGTCTCAAAGCCCTCTTTTTAGCAAAGGAAGGGAAGGAGTGTAGCTATGAGAATATGATTTATGCCCATTTTCTGTTTTTAAATCTAGAAGTCAGGTCTTCTAAGCACAAATACAACTACAATGAAATATTTTACAGATAAAATGTTAATAATGTTAATAAACCATACACTTTGAATTAAATTTTGTTTTTCATTTTCTCTACACTTTTTTTTTTTCTGGCTCTCTTAGCTCTAAATATATCAACCAGATTTATAAATACTTTGTTTTTCATGATTCAGATGTTTTATATTTTTGTATTAAATGAAACTTGGCCGGGCGCAGTGGCTCAAGCCTGTAATCCCAACACTTTGGGAGGCCAAGGCGGGAGGATCACGAGGTCAAGAGATCAAGACCATCCATGGTGAAACCCCGTCTCTACTAAAAATACAAAAAATTAGCTGGGCATGGTGGCGCGTGCCTGTAATCCCAGCTACTCAGGAGGCTGAGACAGGAGAATTGCCTGAACCCAGGAGGCGGAGGTTGCGGTGAGCCGAGATCACGCCATTGCACTCCAGCCTGGGTAACAAGAGTGAAACTCCGTCTCAAAAAAAAAAACTTAAGCATGATTTTTTTAGTAAGCCAGTAGGAATACCAGTGGTTAAAAAAAAAAAAGTCAGCTGACATAAAATTGAGTCCTAATAAGGGGTCTGTATTCACTTGACGATTCTGACCTTTCCTAAGGGAGGGAGTTGAATTAGATACCACTGGAGGCCCACTCTGTATTCCTAATCCAGTCTCAGCACTTTATTCATCAAAAATAATCAAAATAGGTTTTCAACACCAAATGCTACCCAGGCAGGGCTTTATAATTTATTTGCACATGTATATGTGTGCCATGTTAGCCACTAAATCTGAATTCTTACCCTGCTTTCATCATGGATTTTTTTTTTGTAACCTGAAACAAGTCACCTATGCTCACTGTGCCTGTTTTCCTCATCTGCAACAAGAGGATAATTCTGACCTACCTCTGAAAAATGTGTAGAACAAGTGAGTTTTTAAAGCACTTTAGAAATATAAGGGAGAAAATGATTTCTTAAGATATCACTGCCTAACATAGATAGGTGTATTTGAAAGCTGAATATAGGTTAATGCTTTTGATAACATATTGTTCCTGTTGAAAATTTAAGCATTATGTATTAGGAGACTAAACATTGAGAACAACTTTATTTCACTCACTTTGTAAATTGGAGTAATAGCCTAAATAGATGTAAATAGTCTTTATCAAAATTTAAATGTTTTTATCTACAAAGACGTGAATCAGTCAAGGGGAAATGCGTATGTAATGTGTGTATATATAATGTATGCAAATGTATGTGATCTTGGGGTACTAAAGCACAAAAAAAATCCCCCACAAAATAAACCTTCCTGAAAAGACTGATCATAAACTTTTTCATTCCAAGCAGATGTGAATCAAGATGTTAGGTTTGTGGTGGGTTAGCTTTGAGGTGTGTTGCCAACATTGTTGTAGCCATATTCTTTGCTGTTGCACGCCGAACTGAAAATTCTTCTCTTACCTCTATGAAGCAAGCCAGGTATATCTTACGTATTTCTTCTCTATGAATGGCCTTAACATTATTTTGTATTCATATGTACTGTTTAACTGAGGGTCTTTAAGCACTTTAAATGGTTGTGTTCTAGTTGTGTTCTCATATGGCCTTCCTCATTTTTCTAGACCTTTTCAGCTGTAATTTTTTATTACCACTCATGTTCTTTCTACATTGACACTTTTATTAAGAACATCAAGTTTCAAGTCTGCTTACTGAATCTAACCTTATTGAGTCATGTCCACTTTTTCATTTGTTAGCTACATTTTGAAGGGTTTATGTGCAAAGTGAAAACAAATTTTGAAAAATAAGACAAATCCATTCTCTTCCTTACTTCAATCTAATATGCATTGTAGTGTCTTTGAATCAGTCTTATCCTCCAAGTCAACTTCATTTTCCTCTTTGATTAGTGAACATCCATACCAAAATGTAAGATTTTATTGAAGCTTCCTGTGATACCTGAGGAACAGTTTGCTATGCCTCACTGCCCAAATGGGTAGGTCATCAATTAGGAGAAATCCCAAATTATAAAAGCCAACATATGCTGTGACCTACATACATAAAGATGTATTTGTGCATTTTCTTTCTGGGTAGTTAAAAATTACTCCCTCTTTTCTCTAGCATTTTGACTTTTCAGACTCAATGCTCTGATCTCTAGGGAGAGTGATTATTTATTCAAACTAATGAGACAGGAAAAGAGACAGTTTTAGAATCCACTGCTGCTAAAGCACATTAAAAACCAATTCTGCTTTCTAATGTATGCACATTTTGATATTTAATGAATATGCTTTCATTAAAATAGAGAGGTAGATTTGAAAAAAACTGTTATAAAGAAATGTGCCTTTTGGGAAATTAATACTTTTGTTCTTGTCTAGCCCATTGGGAATTTCCATTTTTCACCTTATACAGAACCTTTTTTCTAATGTAAAAGTATTTCTTCCAAGTTTGATTTCTGTATCAGGATAACCTTGAGAACACATACATATTTCTGTTTGAGGATTTGTGAATTCCTATGGAAACAGTCTTGTATATGTATTTACAAATTAAAGTATTCTTAAAGCTTTGCCTTAAATACTGCTTGTATACTGATTTACTTAATGCTAAGCATGGCAGGGGTCATAAATTTAAATATTATAAGACGTGGCTGAATCCCAGATATACCAATAAATTGTTATAGTAGCTTATGGAATAAAAATATTATTAAAGATAACAAATTTTCATACATTGTATTTTTAGTCAAGTAAAATATGGATGAAAATTAATAAAGTACCGTCAAGGGAAAAAAAAATGTGTGTAATGTTATGAGTGATTTTTTTCTTATTTATTTAAAAAAAGATTACACAATTTGGGCTCATAGTAAAAAATTCACACAGAAGTGTGTATGTAGAAGGCATTCCCCACTCTCACTGCAGGAGTTTGGGTATCATTCTACAAGTTCTGTCAATATGTAAGTATTTTTCATTTAAAAACACACACACATGGGATCCTATATTTTTCTGTAACTTGTGTCTTTAAAAAACCCCACCATATTTCAGATATCTTTCCAATTCAGCACATTCAGACCTCCATAATTCTTTTCAAAGACTGGATAACTGATTTAACCAACTGCCTAAAGATGGACATTGTGATTGATCCCAGTATTTTATATGTAACTTTCTGTACATATTGGAACACTGAATGGGAGAGTCCTAGGAAACATTCTCTCCTAAAAGTTTACATTTTTCATTGACTATAAATAATCAAAATAGATTCTACTCAAGAGAATAAACTTTTGAAAGCAGTGTGGTCAGGTTGGCAGGTGAGTGGCATCAAGAACTTAGGATCTCATTGCTATTAAAAGAACATGACCATTCCTACTACAGTTCTGAAACAGCGATTTAGTCACATACTAATGCTGTCTCAGATGAGTAACTGCAAATCACTTCAAAAAGTACGGTAGCTTTGTGAAAAAGGTTACTGCCACTTCACATAGGGAAAATAACAAGTATTTGCAAATAGCAAAATAAAAAGAAATGGTTTCAGTACAAGCTCTTATACTCACTTGGTATCAAAATAATCCAAGATAAATCTGAACACTATGGCAAGTTATAGTTGTGTTAATGATGAAATGTGATATTTACTGTTTAAATTCAGCAGCTGGAACAATCTCCTTATAAGGAAGATAGAAAATACGTTTATATCCAGACTGTATTACTCTTTGGAAAAATATGACCAATTGATTTTGGGCATTATTGTTACAACCTTTTCCTTCACCTCTGCATCATCGTGATGAACTAAAGCTCTTAGTTTCTGGGCACATTCTTCTCCATATAACAGGAAAAACAATGAACCTTCAGTGAAAGTAGGCTGCACAGCTAAATGACCTTCTATTTTGAGGCAGTTATTTATATTCTGAAATAGTGTAAGTACTCGAAGAAGAATCTCCTTTGCTACGTGGCTGTCATAAAGGGAAAGGAATGACGCATCCACCTGAAATAGGAAATAATGAGTATTAATAATATATGAAAACATTTTTCATGTATATTTTAATATTTTAAAACTGTATTAATATCTCACATTTAAAAATTTTTAAATTCACATTTAAAATGGGAGTATCTCACATTTTAAAAATTTTGTCAGGCTGGTTGTGGTGGCTCACGACAGCAGTTTGGGAAGCCGAGGCGGGTGGATCACAAGGTCAAGAGATCGAGACCAGTGTGACCAACATGGTGAAACCCCATCTCTACTAAAGGCGCAAAAAATTAGCTGGGCATGGTGGCGCGTGCCTGTAATCCCAGCTACTCCGGAGGCTGAGGCAGGAGAATTGCCTGAACCCAGGAGGCGGAGGTTGCAGTGAGCCGAGATCGCGCCATTGCACTCCAGCCTGGGTAACAAGCGAAACTCCGTCTCAAAAAAAAAAAAAAAAAAAAAAAAAAAAAATAGCCGGGTGTGGTGGTGAGTGCCTGTAATTCCAGCTAAGGCAGAATTGCTTGAACTTGGGAGGCAGAGGTTGCAGTGAGCGGAGATCATGCCACTGCACTCCAGCCTGGCAACGGAGCAAGACTCCATCTCAAAAAATATATATATATATTTTTTCATAGAAAATTAACTCTAAAATTGTGAAATTTAGATGTATAAAACCTTATGTACCCCCACATTGTATACTAATGGAAAAAAGGGAGTGTTTTAGCTGAAAAATACAATTTCCTTGGAATTTTAGAATGTGGTTATTTGGGAAAAACAACCATTTTCTCTTTAAGATCTGTCATACAGTTTTCATGGGAATTCATTATTTGATCAAACATTTAGTGCCTATATGCCACAGGGCACAGAGCTGGGTGGGGAACAGGGATAAGCAGATGAATACAATGGTTCCTTTTCTACAGAAGTTGAGCTCCATTCTATCTCAGCATTCAGAGCACTTATCACAGCTTTCAATTACCTTGTTCATTTGTTACATATTTTTGTCTCTCCACTAGACTGTAAGCTCCATGAGGACATGCACCATGTCACGCTGCATTCACTCGTGTCTCATCCAGCATCTAGCACATGCTGGGGACTCAGTACTGCTGTTTCAGTGGATACTAAGATACATATAAACACAAACAGGTCAAGTATAAAAGATGGGATGGTACAACTGTACCCAAAATTGGGTAGAGAAAAAAGTTTTAATATATAATTTGTTGCTAGGGTGAATTTTAAAAAATGTTTTTCAAAAGTAAAATATGCTCACTGTAGAAAATTTAGGAAATTCATATATACAAAAGGAATGAAAAAAAACCACCACCTTTAATATTGCTTCTCAGAGAGAATCCCTGGTTAACATTTTAGGCTAAATCTTTCTCTTTCCAGTTCTGTCTGCTCAAATATATGTGTGTATATATTTACAAAATAAATATATAAGCTATTTACTTGGGCACGAAGAAGTCCTTCTGTCATGGCTGGATTTTCAGACAAATTCAAAAGCAGTTTCAAAACTTGCACCTGAAATAAGAAGATATTGGCTTATCTCAGACTGGTAAGCATGAATTTCCTCTCTCAGGCATGCTGTTCTCCCACCAGGTCTTCCTATAAAAGTAGTGCCTAGCTTCCAGGCCTGGCTCATAGTCTCTCTACTCTAGGAAACTTTCTCAATTCATTCTACTTTAAGGGTCTCACTCTGAACTCTTTTTTTTATTGTGAGAATTTATTTTATTTATTTATTTATTTGCATTTTAGGTTCACTCTGAACTCTTATAACACTTGGCACCACTCTGTGATAGGGCAGAACCTACCACAGAGAAGTGTTATTTAAACCTCATGTTTCCAATGACACTGTTAGAGAGACAGAATATTGCAAATGTTTTGCACCACTCATAAGAGAACCTAACACAGAGATGGAGGTCTTCTATCACACTGTTATTTAAGCATCATTTTCCCCAATTATACTGTTAGGGAGATAGAATTTTGCAAATGTCTTCACAATCTACCCCCAATTCACATGCACACCCAAACAGATGGTAAGCTTAACAAATGTTAAATACGCGATCTTCATTATGATTGCTGGTAAGTGAAATATGGCCAGGCATGGTGGTGTGGGCCTGTAGTCTTAGGTACCTGGGAAGCTGAGGAGGGAGGATCGCTTGAGCCTACAAGTTTAAGGATGTAGTGAGCTATGATTGTACCTGTGAATAGCCACTGTACTCCAGCCTAGGCAATGTAGTGAGACCTGAGACCCCACCTTTCCAAAAAATAAAAAAGAAACACAATCTTTAAAACAAACAAAAAAAATCTCAAAGCTCAGCTCATTTCTACTTAAAGTGTAAAAATTCTGCAACTGTTTGGTTACCAAGACTAAATAAGTAACAATATGACCCCTTTTCCATAAGCTACTATGAATCTTTGAGATTATCTTTTAATGTGAAAGTGTTTCACAACTGTATAAAAAAGCACAGTGATAAAAACTGATTGACTGAATGATTGAGATGGTGGTGTCAGGGGGCGGAGGGTCTCACTAAATTGCTGAGAGTGGTCTTGAACTCTTGGCCTCAAGCAATCCCCTCACCCTGGCCTCCCAAAGTAACTAGGATTACAGGCATGAGCTACCATGCCCAGTAATGATATAAATAATAAGTAAATGTTATTTAATAGCTGAGTAGCTAAAATACCAGCATTCTTATGACTTACAACAAAAAGTCAGTAATAAAAAGACTCAAATAGAATGGCTCTTTTAAAAACAAAGGCCATATGAAACTGTGCTTTCCATAAGATACCCAGAACTAAAATAAGGAGGAGTGTGGAGGGGGGAACTAACTCAGAGGTATGTGACAAATGTGCTCTTCACTAGAGCTGGGAAGGAAACTGGATATTATTTTAGAAAATTTTTTTATTACAAAGGCAACAGATGTTTACCATAGCACTTTCAAAAAAACAGAAAAGCAGAAAGAAAAAGGAAATTCACCCATATTTCCATAACCAGAAATTATGATTAAGTTTTGGTATTTCTAGCCAGGCACAGTGGTGCATGCCTGGATTCCCAGCATTTCTGGAGGCCAAGGTGGGCAGATCACTTGAGCTCAGGAGTTCAAGAGCAACGTAGGCAACACGGCAAAACCCCACCTTTACAAAAAATATAAAAATGGCTTCTAGCCAGGAGTGGTGGCATGTGCCTTAAGTCCTAGCTACTTGGGAGGCTGAGGCAGAAGGATTGCTTAGGCCTGGAAGCTCAAGGCTGCAGTCAGCTGAGATCATACCACTGCAATCCAGTCTGGGCAACAGAGTGAGGTTCTGTGTCAAAAAAAGGGAAGGCTGGGTGCGGTGGCTCACGCCTCTAATCTCAGCACTTTGGGAGGCCAAGGTGGGCAGATCACCTGAGGTTGGGAGTTCGAGACCAGCCTGACCAAAATGGAGAAGCCCCGTCTCTCCTAAAAATACAAAATTAGCCAGGTGTGGTGGCGCATGCCTGTAATTCCAGCTACTTGGGAGGCTGAGGGAGGAGAATTGCTTGAACCTGGGAGGCAGAGGTTGTGGTGAGCTGAGATCATGCCACTACACTCCAGCCTGGGCAACAAGAGCAAAACTCTGTCTCAATTAAAAAGAAAAAAAAAAAAAGAAAAGTTTTCTTTCTGGTCTTTATGCATATATCTTGTGTATTCACAATTCCTTTGATCATGTTGTAGATACTAATTTATTTGAGGATGACAAAATGCTTTGCTTAATTTTACTGTTTTTATGAACTTATTTTTATTTTTACTAAATTACTACTTGGTCATGATAAAAATTTAGGTAGTACAAAACAGAACAAGGTAAAAACAAAAGCCATCATGCTATTGACCCCTTCCCATCCTTAGCGGTGACCACTGGTAACATTTCTTCAATATGCAGACTGTCTTTTTCAAACAGAGGCTCTTAATAAATTATGGCCTCTGGAGATGAAAGAGTAAAGGAGACTTCTGACCACCCTTTAGTGCACTCCGTGGAGGTTACTATCAGATCTCATCTGGCCTGACTGGCCATCAGCAACACTAGGAATAACTGTTAGGAAAAAACACCTAGCTCCAATGTCAATGATGTTTCAATCAGAAAAACAGGAACAAGAGGTATGAAATAGGATGGACCTGAACTTATGAAATAAGCCTGGATGCAGTCCAAATCTAAGACCCACTACTAGTCAATGAGGGCAGGTATACAACCAGGGAATAGCAACAGCAATAGCTATTTGGTATCCTGTATTAAAGTCTGATGTTGCTACTCTTTGTAAAAGGGAGTTAAACATGAAGAAAAAATATATACAGTTAGAATACAACTACAGATTAAACAAATATATAGATTTTGGTTTGAAACCATATTAAGACATGTTTTTTGTCTGGGCTCGGTGGCTCAAGCCTATAATCCCAGCACTTTGGGAGGCCGAGGCAGCAGATCACGAGGTCAGGAGTTTGTGACCAGCCTGACCAATATGGTGAAACCCCGTCTCTGCTAAAAATACAAAAAATTAGTGGAGCGTGGTGGCATGTGTCACAGGAAGCTGAGGCAGGAGAATCACTTGAACCTGGGAGATGGAGGTTGCAATAAGCTGAGATCATGCCACTGCACTCCAGCCTGGGTGGCAGAGCAAGACTCTGTCTCAATCAATCAATCAATCAATCAATAAAAGACATTTTTTTCCCCTCTTGTCATATGCACCATCTTGTGGTGACACTAAGACATTTTAAACCATTAGTTTTATTTTTTTTCATTGCAGATGTAACAAGCACAGTTTATTTATATTAATCCTCCACTATCTGTATTTAGTTATCAATCAGTGGTGTACCCAAAAGGTTATTACGGTAGAGTGAGATCCCTGACTTAAGCAAATTAAGGTATTTTAAAAGTCATTTTAGTGGTTATTTACTAAGAAAATACCTAAATCAGATAAACTTTCCCACTAACAAATAGATGACTATCCAAAAGTTTATTTGCAAGTTGGAACTTTAAACTCAATTTTTATGGAAAATTAATGTTATAATTGGTAGCTATGTTCCAAGGCAGACCAAGAAAGCTTATTTTTTACCCTAGAAATACCGTACTAAGCAATGTAATGGAAAAACGCAACACAACAAAAAACAAAAACAGAACATAGTATTGTGGTGTGGGTCATTTTTTAAAAAGTCAAAAAATATATGAAAACACAGATGATGTCTGACAGACAGACATATACAGCCCCAAGGCCAGACTCGCCTGGCTGAACTGAGCCTGGTTCTGAACTCAGAGTTCCTCCTGGGGTTCTGGGTAAAGCAGCTGCAGATTCAGGCAGAGGAGAGATTTCTACTACAGTCACAACAACGAGTAAAGAGTGAAGGAATTCCATGGGGGTTCAAGGCCTGGAAATTATCTTGCTCTACTGGAGTCAGAGATGTTGATGCATGTTGGCAACTACCCAGGAATGATGCAGTTTTGCTAGAAGATGATTCTTACACTTAATTTTCAATACGAAAAGGTACTGATCTTGGACCAGATCCAAACAAATTTGGCTACTGGAAAAGAGGAAAGTCCATGTAGAAACACCTTGGAAACATAAAAGCAGGACTACAGTGAGGCTCTCCTGTAATCATATCTTGATAACCTCAAAAATAACTGCAGTGATGTTGAGTATTTGGAGTATGGCCTCACATTTGGTCTTTTTAAAATGCTTATGCATTTTTCTCTCAACTGTTCCAGAGAACACAGACCAACATGCAAAAAGCCTTGATGAGCAATCAACCCAACTTACCAAAACTTTTAATTAGCCTACAATCCATTTTACGCTACTTTTTCTTGAAAAACGGCAATTGATAAATGTACATTAATATGAGAGATTTACTCAAGAAACTTTTCATAGGGTATCTCCTAAGGTCCTATTTAATTCAGCTCAGTATCTGTTGCCTCTTAAATCAACCTAAATGGACAGAGTGAAGCACTGAGACATCTTTCATATATTCAATTCACTTCCTTTACACCTTAAAAGTTGTTTTAGAAAGATTTTTCAACAAATAATAACTAAATAAAAAATGATTTGTTAACCCTGAGGTAAGCAAAATATTCAACTAACCACTACTATTGCTCAAAGATTCCTTTTAATCACAATGTTCCTGTATTTGTTGGGGGGAAGCTAGCTTCTTGGAAAACCAAATGATACGTGAAAAAGCAGATCATTTTCACAAGTTAATTTTGCAATGGAATATTTGGGACTACAAATAATATACTTTCTTGGGCCCATGTGAGTTTTTAGTAAATCTTCCTCTTCTTTGAGGCACATCAACTTAAGATAAGGTGGCCTGCAAATTCTATTTCAATCTTAATAAGCTTCACACAATAGCTCTTCATACCTTCGTGTTTCCATTTCCAGTAAGTAACACCCGGAACAGGTCTGTAATATAACTGTGAAGCATGTGCTGGTGGTCATTGGTAACAGTCATGTTTGTCAACAATCTCAGTCCGGCCAGCTGCACAGCAGAGTTCAAAGGATCAGAGAAGACATCCTCACAGACTTGGTTGATGTATATCTGAGGGCAGGGGAGGAAAATGAGTATCTTAGAATCTCCAAAATTCTTCTACTAAGCAGCCACGTTTTTGCCCAGTGGAGTAGGGCTACTGCTCAGGATGGAACTGACTCGACATTTCCATCCAGCCCTCAAATGTCGGTGACTTTTTAAAAGCTTCCTTTGGTAATTCCAGGTACTGTGCTTAGCATTTTACAAATATACCTCACTTAATCCTGAAGACAACTCTAATGAGGTGATTGTTATGATATTATGGCTATCTTGCAGACAAGGACTTTTAAGTCTTCAAGGAGCTTGGGTCCCCTGCCCAATGTCAGATAGCAGATGGGGAAGCAATATGCAAGCCCAGAGATCATGCTCTTAACATCAGTGGACTCTCCCTGGTTGGAGGCCTTCCAACTTAGTCCACCATTCTGTTTCAACTGGCCTGAGCACACTAGGAGCAGGGAAGATGTGACGTCATTTTGTATCATGGTAAGTACCTTAACAGTAGGGTCTAGAGAGCTCTATCATTTCAGAAGTAAAGAATGGGAGGAAAATGTGAAACAGAATCTTTCCCTAGAGTTAATCCTGTCAAAAGTAAGCAGAGCAAAATTATCCCTGGCCCAAGTTTCTTATTTACCAAGGTATATGTATATAATTTATCCCTTCATAATACTGTTAACTATCACTGGTAAAAAGTCATGCAATAGTCTAGTACTCTTGTATCATACGTAACAGAACTAAACGCAGTGTGATGGAAACTTTTCTGAAACACGATTTTCTGTCTGGCCATGAGCTTTCTTTTTTGGGGGAGGACAGCGTCTCATTCTGCTGCCCAGGCTGTAGTGGTACAACCCCGGGGTCACCGTAGCCTTGACCTCCCAGGCTCAAGTGATCCTCCTTCCTCAGTCTCCAAAGTAGCTGGGACTACAGGCGTGAGCCACCAGACAGGGTTTCACCACGTTGCCCAGGCTGGTCTCAAATTCTTGGGCTCAAGTGAACTGTCCACCTCAGCCTCCCAAAGTGCTGGAATTATAAGTGTGCATCACCATGCCCAGCCTGGCCATGAGATTTCTAGTTTAGAAAAAATGATGTTTTACAGATTACTGATATTCACCTAAGCAAATCTGAACTCTACCAAAAGTTCTAACTGGTCAGAAAATTTTCCTAATTTGAAGTGGCAAGAAGTTACCAATTCTTGCATAAACAATTATTTTTAAAAAATTGCCAAATGTATACATGTTACCACAGAAACTAAATGGCAGTAAAGCAAAGAGAGACTAAACTTTGAATCTGGTTTCTCCAACTAAATTACATTTATTTCTTTTCAGAGACAGGGTCTCACTCTGTCACCTAGGCTGGAGTGCAGTGGCATAACAGCTCACTGCAGCCTCAAATGCCCTCTGGTTTCAGTATCCTGAATAGCTGGGACTACAGGTGCATGCCACTATACCCAGCTAATATATATATATATATATATATATATATTATATTTTTTTTTTTTTTAAAAGAAATAGGGTCTCACCCAGCCTGGCCAACATAATGAAACCTCGTCTCTATTAGCCAGGGCATGGTGGCAGGCACCTGTAATCCCAGATACTCGGAGGCTGAGGCAGGAGAACTGCTTGAACCTGGGAGACTGGGGTTGCAGTGAGTCAAGGCTGCACCACTGCAACCTTGAGAGTGAGACTCCAATGAGAGCGAGACTCCATCTCAAAAAAAAAAAAAAAAAAAAAAAAAAAAAAAAAAATTCAAGTATTGGCAAACACCTGGATCAACTCGAACTTTCATTCACAGTTGGAAGGAGTATAAATTGCTACAATCACATTTGCTACAAATTAAAATTCACAAGCTCTATGATCCATCAATATTATCTCTAAAGAAGAAGGGCAATTCTCTCCTGCCTGAAAGAAATACATAGGAATATTTTCTAAACATACATTTGCTACAATAGTCATAGGAATATTTCCCATAACAACTTCCATCTTGACACAGTCTTTCAATATATTCATATATGTGAATATATATATGTGAAATACTATTCAGCAATGAAAAAGAACAAATTATAGTTACATGTAACAACATAAATGAGCCCCATAATCATAATGTGGAATGCAAGAAGCCAGACATAAAAGTGTACATACTCCACAATTTCATTCATATAAAGTTTTAAAATGCAAAACTAATGTGCAGTGATAGAAGTTAAAAGAGTGGTTTCCTTTGTAGAGGTGGCTGATGTTTGGGAATGGGTATGATGAATGCTATTGAAGATGCTAATAATGTTCTATCATATCTTAATCTAGAGGGAGAAACACTGTATATTTATCTGTGAGATGTTTATAAAACTATACACTTAAAAAAAAAATTGAGTCTCAGTATGTTGCCCAGACTGGCCTTGAACTCCTGGCCTCCAGCAATCTCCCGTCTTGGCTCCCAAAGTGTTGGGATTACAAGTGTGAGCCAGGGTACCTGGCCCTAATTTACATTTGAAAGTCAACTGATTCTCCTTGGTTACAATTTAATTACACACCCATTCTTTAAAAACATGGCATTTATTTACCTCTTTATAAATCATGCATTTCCGTAAGATGCTGACGTCTTTCAAAGTATTTCGTAAAATGTGTGGACTGTTTACATCCTTATTATATCTGAATCTTTTTACCATTTCAATTCTAATAACAAGATTACCAAATGGACCAGCTTAGTTATTCCTGCAGCTGTGTCCACCTCATCTTGTTCCATTCTCTTGGAATTTTCTCCTTCCCCAACTCTACCCGTACAGTAACCTTAGACATTCTCAAGAGTCAGGTCAGACTCCACCTCTTACAGAAACTTTTGGATCAAATCTAACTTACAACTATTTAAGGACTTGTTTTATCCTTCCTTCCTTCTTTCTTTTTTTTTTTTTTTTTGAGACGGAGTTTCGCTCTTGTTACCCAGGCTGGAGTGCAATGGCACGATCTCGGCTCACCGCAACCTCCGACTCCTGAGCTCAGGCAATTCTCCTGCCTCAGCCTCCTGAGTAGCTGGGATTATAGGCACGCGCCACCACGCCCAGCTAGTTTTTTTGTATTTTTAGTAGAGACGGGGTTTCACCATGTTGACCAGGATGGTCTCGATCTCTCGACCTCGTGATCCACCCGCCTCGGCCTCCCAAAGTGCTGGGATTACAGGCTTGAGCCACCGCGCCCGGCCTCCTTCCTCCTTTCTTAACAAGAGTGGCATCATGTTCATTTGTATACTCTGTGCCACAAAGCAGGAGTTAGATACTGAATTGAAATAACATAATTTCCTAATATTGCATTTTTCTGCTGACATCATCTGACCCTGGCTTTGTTCCTTTAGCACCCTTAAACTAAACCCCCACTCCAAAAGTCTTATTGGCTGCAAAAGATAGAAGCAGCCTGGCCAGCCTCCTTCAGTAGAGTATGAAGGAGCCCTTGCAGATTTTGATTCCCACTCTAGAGCTTTTATCTAGATGACCATGGAAACTGAACAGAAGCTGGTAAGAGCTGTTAGAGTGTTTGAATTTGGTAGACCAGAAGTCCTGAAACTCAGTCAGATGTTGCAGTACCAATTTCAAAACACCATCAAGTATAATCAAGGTTCATACGTGTGGTGTCAACCACACGCATACAAATATACATTTACTCTGGTACTTACAATAGAAAACCACCTTATTCTATACTGCTGGCTCAGACATAACTGGGGTAATGAAAGCTGTTGGAGGTAATGGATTCACTTTAAAAAAAAAAGTGAGTTTTCACTGTCAGCACAATCTCTGGAAGCCATAAGGAGTATGCTCCTGTAGCAGATCACACTGTTTACAAAGTGCCTGAAAAATTGGACCTTAAACAAAATGCTGCCACTGGTATCTCATATCTTACTGCATATGGAGCTCTGATTCAGTGTTTTTATGAATGCTGGAGTGTTTTGGTTCATGGGGCTAGTGGAGGAGCTGGGTTAGCAGCATGCCAAATTGCTAGAGTTTCCGGCTTAAAGGTTCTGGGCACAGTTGGTACTGAGAGGGACAAAAGACTTTCACAAAATGGAGCCCACACAATGTTTAATTACAAAGAATTATGTTGATGAAATTAAGAAATGTATTGGTTAGAAATCAATCTGATTATGGAAATATTAGCTAATATAAATCTTAGTAAAGATGTGAATTGTTTGTAATATGGAAGATAGGTGTTGGCAATAGTAGTACTACTGAAATAAACCCATGGAACACCATGGCAAAAGAGTCTAGTAAAATTGGAGTTACCCTATTTTTCTCAACCAAGGAGGAATCTCGGCAATTTGCGGCACACTGTCAAGCTGGAATGGAAATTGGTTGCTTGAAATCTGTAATAGGTTTCATTATATGTTGGAGACGTGGTCAAGGCTCATAAAAGTATCTCTCACAGCAAAGGGGCTACTGTAAAAATGATTTTTTTGATGATTAATTCTTTCATGGATTTCAGCAGCTGTCTTTTGTCCAGTTTTACTTACACAATCTTTTCTTTAATTAACATTCATTTGATCCAGTGAGTTTCTTATGTGAAAAAATTAAGATTTTTCTTTGGAGAGCCGAGGAAGTAGAGTAAAATTCACTTTATGGCAGGCAATATTTTTTTTACCTTCTATTTCAAATCAAGAAGTCTTCATAGTACAAAATAGGATGTTAGTGGTCTTTTGGCATTGGGGTGCATTCCAGAAATTGTGAACTGATACTTGACTAATTCTATACCTTTGCTTAAAACATGCTAATTCAAATGAGGGTGCTCATTTTCCAAGGATTTCCAATCCTACTTACCTTTATAAAGGTTTTTTAGTCTCTGATTAGCTATAACTACATTGTAATTCTAAAGATTTTCTGGACTAATAAAGACCCCTATTCAGGCTGGGTGCAGTGGCTCATTCCTGTAATCCCAGCACTTTGGAAGGCCAAGGTGGGCGGATCATGAGGTCAGGAGTTCAAGACCAGCCTGACCAATATGGTGAAACTCCGCCTCTACTAAAAATACAAAAATTAGCTGGGTGTGATGACATGCACCTGTAGTCCCAGCTACTTGGGAGGCTAAGGCAGGAGAATCACTTAAACCTGGGAGGTTCAAGCCAAGATTGCACCACTGCACTCCAGTCTGGGTGACAGAGTGAGACTCCGTCTAAAAAAAACAAACAAAAAAAAACCCCCTATTCCAAACTAATAGCATCTGGATCTGTAAGACTGTGGAAGGGCAAAAATATATAATTTCCAGAATACTTTAATGGTTTTTCAAGATTTCCCCAAGTATGAGAATATCTGCTTCACTGGATATTCTAACTGATTGTCAAAGACTGCATATATTCCTGTGAGGACAGCAGCCTTATCTCTGACACTTGGTACACAGCCTCCAAACAGATAATACTTCTTGACTGATTAGATTTTCGAAGTAGATTTAGAGTTAGCTGTTTGTGTGATGGGGGTCATATATTTTTACTGACGTTAAGTCTGCTTTTGCTTCATAGCACAGTAATCTGTTAAAAATTCTGTAAACAATTAAATTTTCTAGTCTATATAGTACTTGCTTCTCATCACTTCTGCAAAGCTCCTCATAGTTACTTCTTTACAGAGTTCTGGGCTGGAAGTCTTTATCTAAACTAAATACAGAGATGACCTCTAAGAAATCTTGCTATCAATCTTATGTTCAAGGAAGTAAAGTTTGGTTACTTGTTGTTTTTTTCTTCATATGAACACATCCGCCTGCTTCTTGTTTCATGATTCTCTTGACCTGATTTGTTCTGTTGAATGACAATTTCTGGTTTGAACATGGGAGTCCTGTTTCATTAGCAAACAGAAAACACTGCATTTTTCTATAACTGAGAGGTATCACTGGGTTCTGATTATATGCCAAGGCTGGAGTGTTTTTACTGTTAGCATTTTCAGGCTATTTTTTCATGGGTTAACTATCTTATAAATAACATTTTTGAAAAAAACCTTAAAACGATGTCAGTAATGTAGATTAGCATTTTATATGCATCCTAAAGTGCAGGATTTCTCCCCATAAAACTAGATCAAGGAACAGTTATTCTGTAAAGTCAGTTGAGTCTATTTGCACATTTGCCTCATCCACTGAAAGAGCTAAAGCATACAGTGACTTAACATTCCACAATACACTGATACAGTTCACTTAATTTCAAAACAAAACATATTTATGAATATACATATTCATAAATATGGTCATTAATGCATATAGTTTGGCTTGTTTTGGATATGCTCTTTGAATGAATCTCTTGTAATTCTAGTTCTAGTTCTAGTTGATACAGTCTTGTCCTAACTTTCAGCCAACTACATCCACTATTTGGTTTGTGCCTATAGCCTTAAGGCCACTACTGTCACCAGTGCCTATGCCTGGTATAAAGCAGAGGATAATCTATAGAATAAACAAGCATTATTTTACTGGAAAAAAAAAAAAGTAGTCTTATTGTACCTCTTATTGGCTACTTCAGGTCCCTCCCTCCTCTGTTTTATTCTCCATTCCTCTAAAGGTAATCCTTGGCTGTAAAGTTACAAAGAATCATCTACTAAAGTTTCATTATTCATCTTTTTGTTATTTTCTCTTTCATTTATGGAAAACCTTATACATTTGGGATTTTCAATCAACTTACCTTTATCTTGATTTGATTTTCAACATTCACACTCAGGTTGTTAAGTGCATTTAAAGCTTTCTCTTTAATACTCAGGTTGGAATGGTTGATTTTGTTTCCAACAATTGGAATACCACCCAATTCACGAATAATAGCCTAGGAGGGGAAAAAAAGCAACAACCAGGACTGGGACTTTAGTACGCTAAAAGGACTTTTTAGTTCACTGAATTCTTTGCATCCACAAATACGATTAAAAATTAATGGCTTTTTGGATATACCTTTCCCATATACAAATATTTAATTCCTACTTTTTTTTTTTTTGAGACGCAGTTTCGTTCTCGTCACCCAGCTGGAGTGCAATGGCACATTCTCAGCTCACCACAACCTCTGCCTCCTGGGTGCAACAATTCTCCTGCCTCAGCCTCCCGAGTAGCTGGGATTACATGCATGCACCACTAGGCCCAGCTAATTTTGTATTTTTTTAAGTGGAGACTGGTCTCAAATTTCTAACCTCAGGTGATCTGCCCACCCTGGCCTCCTAAAGTGCTGGGATTAAAGGTGTGAGCCACTGCACCGGACCCTAATTCCTATTTTTAAAAAATCTCACTACCCATACTTTTATAGGTAAAGAAAATCCACTGAAAATAAAATTAAGATATATAATTACTTAAACTACAGTGTTGAGAAATACAATAAAAATTCAGAGGTACTATAACGATCTTGAAGCAACTTACAAACAAAATTATTTTTCTTTGAGATAAGTAACTTCTCCATTATAGGCAAAACTGGAAAAGTGCTACAATTTAGAATACTAAAGTAGTGTTTTGCTGACCTGTGTTATTTTAAACACCAATCCCTCAAAATGTTAATAGATGTCCCATAAAAATAAGGGGGAGGGTGGTTTCCCATGGTTATGTAAGTTTAGGAAAATCTGAGTAAAACAAGACTAAGCATGTTTCTTTAATATGTTCACGTGCATTGGGAATCTTCAAGAGGCTTATGTTGTTGATAGTATGTCTATGAACTATACACAAAAAGAGGGTCATTTTTCGGCAGTGGAAGTGGTGGGAACAAACTGACATCTTGCAGAATCAGGTTCCATGCAGTTTGAAAAATGGTACCCAGGGCCAGGCATGGTGGCTCACGCCTGTAATCCCAGCACTTTGGGAAGCCGAGGCAGGTGGATCTCTTGAGGTCAGGAGTTCGAAACCAGCCTGGCCAACATAGTGAAACCCTGTCTCTACTAAAAATACAAAAATTAGCCAGTAACAGTGGTGGGTGCCTGTAATCTCAGCTACTTGGGAGATTGAGGCAGGAGAATCACTTCAACCTGGGATGAGGTTACAGTGAGCCAAGATTGTGCCATTGCAATGCAGCCTGGGTAACAGAGTGAGACTGTGCCTCAAAATAAAAAAAAAAAGAGAAGAAGAGGAAGAGGAGGAGGAGGAAGAAGCAGAAGAAGAAAAATGGTGCCCAAATATTCAGAGGAAAAATAATATGGGATTTTTTTACAGTTAGTTGCGATACTATATTACCATGTGCCTTTGGCCCAAACATTGAAAGAATTAAATTGCTTTAATTCTTATACTCCATTTTACTGTTAAGGGTAACCTTAGCAATCAAAAGAGAAATAAATGTTCCCTCTACAATTTCAAGTTCTTTCGAAGGACTTAGTTTCTAGAAACCAGGTTGTTTTTTTTTTTTCAACTGTACTATTAAAACAGATTAAGGCACTATAAATGATGGTGAGAGCACCAACCCATGCTGCTCAAGAAGGTACTTCTCCAGTGGGTATTGGCCTACTCCAACTATAACTTATTTTAGAGGAATACAAAATTATGCCATCAGAAATACTCCTTTAAAGGCAGGCTAACACATTAATCACTATCTATTGTTTTTGCTTGTCTAGTGGCCCTCTTTCTACAGAGGCTAGATGTGGCATCTTCTCTGTCCCACACAGTCCCTGCTGGGATTGTTGTTCACTTGTATTCACAGCCATCCTGCTACTTAGCTGTAGGCTGCTCAGGTGAGCCAGGCCTCACTAAACATGGGTCATGGTACCTTGACTGATGCAGAGATTGCCCCGGAGATTGATCCAAAGGGTTAGCACTGGATCCTAGAAGAACAACTGTACCTTTTGGATCATAAGCTACAGAGATGAATGCTTAGAGAGGCTAGTGGCTTTCTTTCAACCCGTGTGAAGAAAATCACTTTGTGTCCAGAAAGATAAAGGCCAGTAAATAAAATGCAGTGGCCATAGCAAAGTCAAAAGGTAGAGAAAGAGAGAACTCTGGTTATTCTTCCTGCAACCTTGAAATGGTCTCAGTTGTGCCTGTAACCAATGCTATTCCTCGCTGTTCAAGTCAGCTGAGCTCAGTATTTTCTCTCTTTGGCTTAAAATAATTTGTTGAATTCTGTCATTTATAACTGAAAGAGTAGATAATGCAAAAAGATTCTCTATCTCCCTATACATCGAGAGCTTTACAGTAAACCTTGCCATTCTGGAGAAAGCTGGGCTAAAAAAACCTATAAATTCAAAATAATTTTGTACTTATGATAATGTTAACAAAGGGGATTCGATGAAACAATTACAAAAAAATTTTAAACCATTTTTTCATGCTGGAGGCTTGTGAATTAGGGTAGGAAGAAGGAAGTGCTCAAATTAAGCTCTTTTAGTCTTAAAGTCTCCATTTGCAGAAGCCATTTACATTGATTAGTGGTTATCAGAGTGTGGTCCAGGGAACACCTGCATCAGAACCATGCTCATAAGACCTATATACAATTTAAAGTATGTACTTAAATGTTAGATGTGTTCATTGTTTTACCGAGGCACTGCTGAATTTCAAATAATTTAAAAGGCCATGAAATGCTAAATGTTGATTAGACATACTTAATATGAATGCGATGCCAGTGACAAACTTAATAACGATCTACAATCATATTATTAATCATATTACTATTAGGCTGTGTTTTTCAGAAGTAAACAAACATTATTTTATCAGTTTAAGTGGCCACATTGCACAGGATGAGGAAATTGAAGATCTGAGAGGTTAAGTAATTTAATTCACGGTCACAATTACTGCCAGTGTGCAAGAATGGAAGGAGTCTGCTTACTTAGTCGAGGTACTTACTTGGTTAACTGAAAAGGCTGCATTGTTACCCAAAGTAATCAAAGCTTTTTCAATAATTATAGGATCCTCAGTTGACTCAAGCAGGTAAAGGAGTTTCTGAAGTTGTTTAGCATTCAGAACATCGTCATATGAACCATCAGTTAAGTCTTCTGCATAAGAAGAAAGTTATTTGAAGTTATCTAAAATCAGTATGAGATTATTTTTGAGACAAGCTCTCTCTCTAGTTGTGTTAGCTCATTGCCTTCATCCAGGGGAAAAGTAAAAATATCTTTACGATGTGGAACCAGGTGCCCATTAGCAAACTGCCCGAGATGGTGAGGCAATCTAGTTTGTGCTTATTCAACAGTGAAGCTGTTTCGTTGTCTTCTGCAGTTGTGGACAGGAGTTTCTTGGATGGCAGATGTGATACTTTAAATTATTTCCCTAACAGCTTCCATGATATGAAATATCCTTTTTGAGAGTTTCAACGTACTGTTCAACTTTTGGAAAGAAACCGAACCACGCATTTGTCCCCTAGGAGGGTGTGTCTCACGCAGACAACTGTTCCCATTTCCAAAACACACACCAGGCTGCGAGGTCTTGGACCACTGTGACTTCCCAGGGACCTGCCCTCTAAGGCCGGGCCGAGCGCCCGCACAACTGTCTCTCTGGGGTCCCTTCTTCCAGAGCACCTGCAAGCAGAGCTTCACTTACGGCTCCGGGCCCCTCAACAGCCCTTCCACCATCTGGAGAATCCCTTTAGTTACACAAAGGCCCGGAGCACGCTTTGAAGAGAGAGGCCATCAACAGGCTTTTAAGAAACCTAATCCGCCACTGTGACGCGGAGCTCGGGCCGGAAAGCTCGGACCAGTTTTCACGCCAGTATGGCGAACAAAGACGCTTGAACAAGTTTTCATGCCGGTAGAGCGAACAAAGGGGCAGCGGGGCCACGCAGCACCCTGCACCCACGCAAATATCGCCTCTCCCTCTAGCTCGGCTCCTCATTTTACCTAGAAGCCAAGCCACCGCCCGGGCCTGGGGAGCCCTTCAACCCAGTTCCAGCCCAACTCTCGCGCACCCGGCGGTCTCACCTGCGGACTGCGAGGGGCGCAGACCGAGCCCGCGACCGCCCCGCCGCCGACCGCGCGTCAGCCTGTAAATGCAGTAGCACGCGCCCGCGCTGACGAGCAGGCCCGCCGCCACCCAGCCCGCGCCCCGGGCGCCACGCATGCTGCCGCCGCGGCAGACCCGCAGGGCCGGGCCGGGGCAGGAGGCTCGTCAGGGCCAGCACAGATATCTTCAGAACAGGTGGGCCTCGCCGCCGCAGCAACCGGAGAGCTACCGTGTAGTGGAGAAAGGAAACGGGGGTCTGAGCTCCGCCTCCCGGAAACCGCCCAGCTCAAGGCTTAGGACCGCCCACTCGGGCCCGGCGAGTCCTGGAGGCTTTCACCAGGTGAGGCGGGGTGGGGCGCTGGACGCCGGGAGGGACGGCTCGGACCGTGCGCCCCACGCGGAGACGTCGGCGCTGGCAACCCCAAGCCGACTTTCGCAACACTTCTCCCGGGGCGTAAGGCGAGCCTCCCTCCCTCCCGCCCAGGGCTGTGGCGCGCGGGGCGACCCCGCCCCGCCCCCTGGTTGTCCGGACAACGCCCCTCGCGCCAGGCCCCTCTAGTTCCCTCGCGGGGAGGGGATGAGCGCAGCTTCTCCGTCAGGCCTCGGACCATGGCCTCGCTACGCAATGCCAACCCGAGGCTGAAGAACTACTTCAAGGAGAACTACATTCCTCAGGTCTGCGAGGTACTGGACACGCGTGGCGCAGACTCGGACCGACGCCGGGAGTTAGAAGCGGGAGGAGTCAGGGAAGACTTCCCGGAGGAGGGACTAGGTTTGGCGGGTTAGGGGAGGAGTGGAGGGAAGGCGGAGCGGAGTGCCAGAAAGTGAAGTCAAATTGGGACTTGTGGGCGACCTGGCTGAAGATGCAGCTGAGAGAGAAGACGGAGGGTGGTGGTAGCTGCACGTGGGAAGTGGTTGACATCTCCCAGGGGGAATTAACACGAGGCCCAGGACGGAAAACCCAAACTCAGTTTTTAAGGTTTGGACAAGAAGTGCCTGAGGACTGGAGGAGGAGTGAGAAAGAAATGCCAGAGAGTCTGGGGAGGAAAATCAGCGGAGTGGCATTATGAATAGAGTTGTCAGAAGTAGGGAGTCCGCGCTAGTCACGTAAGATAAGGACCTGAATTCTGCCCAACGTGAGCCTTGGGGAGCTGTGAGGACAGAAAATAGTTGTAGGTTAGCTGAGGAGAGAGTGGAAGCTGAGACCTTTGGTCAGGGGAGCCAGCCCTTTGTGAAGTAAGGACCCTCTCAACCAGGGATTGCCTTTAGACAGGAGGAAGGACTGCTCCTCACTCCCATTATATTACAGGGGAAGGAAGACAGGAAGGGGGTAGTTACTAGGTGTTGTAAGTTTTGGGGGTAGGAGGCTGAGAAAGTTTGCCTTTGCTGACCTTTTTTTCCCCCTACAAACAGTTGGTGAGATAATGGCCAAGAATGTGCGTGTTTGAGTGGGGATGGGACTGTTGGTGCAGTAGGAGGTTTTAGCCAAGATACATTATGAGGAGAATGAGGGAGAGAGATGTTTAGGGCAGGAAATAGGAGAGCCCAGCTGAGGTTAGTAACTAATCTCCTTGGCGGTTTTGGGAGGCAATTTGGTAGGCTTCCTCCCTTCCCCCTCCCCACCCTCGTTTCCCTTGTTGGATGGTAACTGAGAAATATATATTAAAATGTTAGACCAGGCGCCGTGGCTCACGCTTATAATCCCAGCACTTTGGGAGGCCGAGGCGTGTGGATCACGAGGTCAGGAGATCGAGACCATCCTGGTCAACAAGGTGAAACCCTGTCTCTGCTAACAATACAAAAATTAGCTGGGCGTCGTGGCGCGCACCTGTCTGTAGTCCCAGCTACTCGGGAGGCTGAGGCAGGAGAATTGCTTGAACCCAGGAGGCGGAGGTTACAGTGAATCGAGATCGCGCCGTTGCACTCCAGCCTGGGTAACAAGAGCGAAACTCCATCTCAAAAAAAAAAAAAAAAAAGTTAAATACAGTGTACTCTTAACCAAGCATTTCCACTTCTAGGGATCTACTTTAGAGAAATAATTGCACATGTGTTCAGAAGGATGTACAAGGATATTCATCATAACTTTGTTTTCGTAGTAAAAGTAGTAAATAACCTAACAGTGACTAAGGGAATGAGATATTATGTAGAATAAAGTATATCTGTACATACTAAGAAGAAATGCCCTCCAAGATATGTTATTATTATCATCATCATTATTATTGAGACACAGGGTGTTCGTCTGTCACCCAGGCTAGAGTGTAGTGGCTCCATCCTTGCTCACTGCAGCCTCAAACTCCTGGGCTCAAGTGATCTTCCCACCTCAGCATACCTGGCTCCTAACACTTATTATTAAGTAAAAAAGAAAAAGTGCAAGTTGCTTAGCAACTATCCATTCTGTTCTAGCTGTCTGATTATTTCATATATGTTGTATATGTGTGTATGTGGACATATATGTGTGTATATCTGTAAGGCAATGCATGCCTTGTCTTGTGGAATGGTTTTAGGGGAGGAGCCGGAGAATTATAAGTTTTTACTCTATCCATAGCTGTATTGTTTTAATTTATTACAGTGAGTTTCATGTACATCAAGTTTACTAATTTTGTTTTATGTTGTGCCCAGTCTACTCTTAAGTACATCAAATGAAATTTTAATTTCAGACATGTTTTTTAGATCTAGAATGACCATTTGATTTTTGAAATAAATTCTGATTATTAGAATTATGCATCTTTTCATTCATTTTGCCTTTTTCTGTTTTATTTGTTCCCTCCAAATCTGTTGAAATTTGATCCCCAGTGTTGGAGGTGGGGCCCAGCAGGAGGTATTTGAGTTTTTGGGGCAGATCCCTCCAGAATGGCTTTGTGTCCTCCCCTGTGATAATGAGTGAGCTCTCGCTCTATTAGTTCACCCAAGAGCTGGTTGTTTAAAAGAGCCTCCCTCCAGCTGTCTCTCTGACTCCCTCAGTATGTCCGTCCTCGGTGATCAAATGGCTCTCACTAACAATAGTCCTACCTTTCCTAGTAGTTTCAGTTTCTGACTATTCCATTACACCCACAGTGAAAGAGTAGACCCCCCCAAAAAAAATCCATAGGAGGCCGAAGCAGGTGGATCACCCGAGGTTGGCAGTTCGAGACCAGCCTGACCAACATAGGGAAAACCCATTGCTACTAAAAATACAAAATTACCCGGGCATGGTGGCACATGCCTGTAATCCCAGCTACTTGGGAGGCTGAGTCAGGGGAATCACTTGTACCTGGGAGGTGGAGGTTGCGGTGAACTGAGATTGTGCCATTGCATTCCATCCTGGACAACAAGAGTGAAACCTGTCTCAAAAAAAAAAAAAATACAGAATTCTTCCACTGAATATTAAAAAATCAATTTCATTTCAATTCACTAGAACCAAAGTTTTAAATAGTAGCTTTTTAAAATTACATTCATAGTAGCCACAAAAAATGGAAGGTTTCTTAGGACAAGATGTGAAAGACTGTTTTGGAGGAATTTGTAAAATTTTATTAGAAGACGTTTAAGGTGACCTAAAGAAAGGAAGTACTCTGCCATGTTTATGAATGGGAAAATAACAGCATATAATATCTTCCCAGAAAATGCATAAATTCTAGTTAAAGTCTAAAATTTTTTTCCCAGTAAAACTAGACAGCCGACTATAATACTGCAAAAATGTTGAAAAGGAGAAAACTAGTCCTTGACACCTAGAAGCTGGACTGGTGTCCGTGAGCTAGACCTTGGCATTGCTTTGGGCTAGCGTGGTGTTAAGTCTTGTCAGTGCTGTAGAGACCCTGGAGGAAGATGAAACTTTACTTCCTGGTTCCTGTGTGCTTCCTCACTTGTTGTTCACACGACACAGCTGCCAGGAGCATGTGTATGGTGTACCCAGTGGTAGTCACTCTTCGCCAAGTTTTGCTCACCAGCCTCAGCCCATTGGCACCTCAGCAGGGGACGTCTGCTCACTAGTGTGAGCTGGTGTCAACTCTGTTCACCACGCTTTGGCCCATCATGGCTGAGAACCATCTCTGTCTGAGGGCAGCCTGATGGACTTTCCTGCTACACCTCAGCCACACTCCACATTCTCTGAATCTCAGCCCTGGGGAGGGGGCTGCCTTCCTTCCAAGGTTATTTAATCATTGAGTACTCTGTCTGAGCCACAGGGTGTCCTTTAGTGTTCTCTTTTGCCCCCTGTTAGTAGTTACTCTCCTTTTACTAGTTAGTAATTCTTTGAATTGCATTCTTTATTAGAATGTATTTATGAGATAGAATAAGTGTTCTTTATTCAAACCACTGCTGTGATTTCTGTCTCTTGACTGGACTCAGTGATAGAGGAGGATTAACTGGAGAGGGACAAGATAACTTTCTGGAGAGTTGGAAAGAAACCACACCCAGGGTGTGGGTATTTCCATTATCAAAATTATACTGCTAAGATTTATGCATTTGAAATCATATAAATTTTACCTTAAATTATAATAGAGAATAGGTGGGGGAAATTGGTAGATATGTAGATGATACAGGAATCACAGAAGAATAATTGTTGAAACTGGGTGATAGATACATAGGGGTTCCCTATGCTATTGTTTATATATGTTTGAAACTTAAAAATCTAAAATGAAAGATAGTCATGGCTGGTCATTTTTTTCTCAGAATGTATGTAGCAAGGGATAGATGGAATGACAGCTATAGCCATTTTCTGTTTGGTGTATCGGTTATTCATTGCCACATGATATACAGCAGCTTAAAACACTTACTGGTGTTTTACAGCAACAGGAATAATTTAGTTTGCTTAAAAATTGGAAATTCTGACAAGGTTTTGCAGGGGGTGGAAGATCCGCTTTTAAGATGATATCTTTTGCATGCCTAGCAAGTTGGTGCTGGCTGTGGCAGGGAGTTCAGCCAGGTCTGTGAACCAGGAGGCTCTTCATCCGGACCTGTCCATGGGCTGCTTAGACTTCTTCACAGTATGGTAGCTGATTACTAAGATCAAACCTCACCAGAGAGAAGCAGGTAGAAGTTATACCATTATCTATGATCTAGCTTTGGAAGTCAGCGTAACATTATTTTCACTTAGATTCAAGGCTAGGGAACATAGAACTCATTTCATGATGGGGAGGCATAACAAAGTCACATTGCCAAAAGAGCATGGAGGATAGGAGATACGGTCATAGCCATTTTGGAAAATATAATCTGCCATACTTAGCTTGTTCAGATCAAGTTGGATCTCAAAGCAGTCTCTAAATAGATGTAGATCACAACAGCATCACTTAGTAAGTGGATCTCAACCCTTCTATAATTACCCCTTTTCTTCCTTTCGTATGTTTTCCAGGAGCAGATGTCTACTGGACATTTACAAGCATCTACTTCCCTCTTCCTCATATTTCCTACATTCATACTCTATAAGCTGCCTCTTCCTCACGTAGCCCATTTGCTTCAAGAAAACTGTCGGTCCCCATCTCTGGGGTTGGACCCCGACTGGCTTGCAACAACTAGTACATTCACTTTTCTTGGCCATGATGTTTGTGACCACAGGGAGGTGGGAGGTATAGGATCATGGGGGAGGGCAATATGTGATCCAAGCTGATTTAGATCAGGATGCTAGTTGGATATACTCTTTCTGGATGTTGATGGGAAAACAATTAGTCCTGGCAACACTGGCAATTACCTGTGTGGCCATAAGGAGAGATAATTTTAGCATGAAGTGGAGTCCACAAAAGGCAGATTGAGGAAATGGAAAGAAACCAGGCCTTAGTGACATTAGTTAACCACTGATTAAACCCGCACTGAACCTTTGAATTCTTTGAATTTCTAACTTTGAATTTCTTGTAGGAGCTGATAAATTCCATTTTAAGTTGAGTTTGTTACTTGAAACCTAAAGCATTTGAAGCAAGATGAGAGGACTATATCTAGTATGCAAATGTCTTTTGAATTTGTCTCTTGCTTCTCTAGTTCTTTTAATTGTGATGTTAGGGTGTTGATTTTAGATCTTTCCTGCTTTCTCCTGTGGGCGTTTAGTGTTATAAATTTCCCTCTAAACACTGCTTTAGCTGTGTCCCATGGATTCTTGTATGTTGTGTCTTTGTTCTCATAGGTTTCAAACAATTTATTTACTTCTGCCTTAATTTTGTTATTTACCCAA